TTCATCATCTAAAAAGCAAGCAAATGCTTTTAAATTTAATAAGATATTTTTTTGAAGTCTTTGTAGGCCAAGAAATAAAGGTACACTAAAATAATAAGCATGTTAAACAAAGAGAGATAGACCTTAATGAATTTGAAGTATTCAAATGTCCATGTGTACAATCTTTATTGTAGTCGGGTCTCTTTGTTTTCCTGAATGATTGCACTCTTAGTCATAGTTGTATGTTATTTCTTTGCACATTTCTTAGATTTGTGACCTTCTTCACCACAATATAAGCATAATCTTTATTCAAATTTACGCTTCTTTTTCTTTGTTGTAAGAGGTTTTAACCATATTGCATCAATTTGCATATCGTCAACTCTAAAGTGTAGAAGTAATATATTTGTTGAAGTAGCAAAATACAAATTTTTGGTACATTGCTTTGTCAAAGTCCATGAGCATTGATCTTGATGACATTGAGATAATTGATTATCACACTTCATAACTTGGTTGATAGCTTTACTAAGTATTTGAAGATTAATTAATAATAATAATAAATCTTTCATATCATCTTTTAATCTCTAATAAAATTGATTCGTAAGAGCTTGTTTGTTCCAATTGATGTTACAAGTCAATTGCTTAAAATTAGATATATAAACTAATATAGAGGCTAATCCTTGATGTAATGAGCAAATCTTTTTTGTTATCCATTGAGCCTTATCATGTTTTCTAAATGCCTTGGCAAATATTTCTAAAAAAGCTTCAATTTTTTTTAAGATTAGAGATCTTTTTTCAAATAAAGGAGCAAATTAAGATAAGGCTTGTTATATAAATAAGGTTCTAATTAAATCAACTTGTAACTCTTTTGTTAGATAGCACTCAAGTTGTAGAAAAGTTATCAATTGAATTTGGTTAACAAATCCTTAGAACTTCAAGTATGTACCATCAAATATTTCTAAAAGATTAATTCAAGGCTCCTTACATTATTGAATAGGTGAATTTTCTTATTGAGGTATAGGTGCCACTACCTCTTTGGATATAAAAGCTTGAGAAAGTGGTTGCATCACAAGTTGACTTTCTCTAGGTCTTGCATCACTATGAAATCTTACAAAAAATTCCTCAATTTTAACAATTCTATGAATTAAAGCATTCAATGTATTCATAATAATATTTAACTTTGACTCAAGAAATTCAACCACATTAACATCTTTACTTCGAATCATCCTAAAAGAAAAATAAATAAATAAATAATAGTAGTTTAGAGGAAGGTACTCTGTAACCTCTAAAGTGCTTAGATGCTTTCAAAAAAAAGAGATAATCCAGTGTCTATCAAGAAGAATCAAGCTCGAATATTAATAAGAAGGTAGTCTTTTCAAAATATTATAGATATATTATACAAGAGACCAAATAAGAAGTTGAACATAAAAGTTTAAGAAGAAAGCTAAAAATAACTTGATTAAATTATGTGAGTACAAGATCAATACCTAGAAAAGTGAACTAAAGCTCTAAGAAATATATTCTTAAGACTAAAGATTCTTTCAACCTCAATTCCAATATATCTTAGGTATTAGGAAGCTTCTCAAGAAGTTTCTATGTTGCTTGAAGATAAAGCAATCTTAAGAAGTTTTTTAGATAACTTCTTAGAATTTTTTAGAATTTTCTAAAATATTCTAAAATCCATCTAAAACCTTCTAAGATATTCTAATTTTTCTAAGAATATTTTTTAGAAAGATTCTAATAGATCTTTTTAAAATATAAAAAAATATTTTAAAATATTTTTAAAATCTTCTTATGGATATCCATAAAATTTATTGATTCTCTATTAATATTGTAGTAGAAAAAAAATTGAAACGAATATACTACAAATTAAATATTTATGAAGCATGACATGGGATTAGGATGACTTAAAAAAAATAGTAGAAGAATGTGTACTAAAGTTAAATGATGAGTAGTGTATTATATATTTGGATATCTTTGCTTCAATAGATAACAATCTTAAAAATCTATATTTATTAGAAGAGTCAATAAGAAGTGCAAAAATATTTCTTTACAATACAAAAAAAATAAAGTTTTGAAGTAATAGGAATTTGTGTATTGCTTCTTTTAAAATTGCAGCATAAATTTTAATTATTGAACGGACTACATACTTTATGTTCGAAATTTTTTTTGATTTCAATAAAAATTTATTTTGGAATATTAAAAATAATATACCATATATAGATGTGCTAAAAAGGATAATTCTTATCATCCAAAGTGAAGTACCAATACAACATTGTTATAGTGCTAATGTAATTAATAGAACTCTTTAGAGACATAAATATCATTAATAAGATATTTGACAAAATTATTGTAATCTTTGGTAGATATTTTTAGTGAATTCTTTGTATTAATATTAAAGGTTTAACATATGAGTTCATTGATACTTCTTTGCAATAATATAAAATTTGGTCTTATATTAAAGTTTACAAGTTGATCAAAAATATATATTTAAAGGATGAATCTGATAAGAATTGGTTATTTGCTAGAAAGCTCTTAAAGGTATGCATTATACATGCTTGTTACTTTTAATTTTATTTTTGAGATATGATATTTATATTTAATATATCTAAAAATGATTTCTATTTGTAGATTGAAAATGAATCAGTAATTGTAGATCTACTAACAAATATAGTGGCTCTTTCAAAATATATGAATGTAAGTCTAATCCAAAATGATGTGATTTTAGTTCTTTATTTGAAACTACATAAAGATGAGATAAATGAAGATAAATATTTCATCAATAGATAAATTTTATCTACACAAATTTATGATATCGATGATTTAAAATATATATAATGGAATTTTTTAAAAACAATTTCACAAATTTATTTGAATATAAGTGAGGTATTTATTGAAGATGGTGCCAAAAATAGCAATTGTTATTCAACCAAGTATTTGAATAGCTTAAGTCTACTTAGATTACCACTATTTAATTTCAAACTAAAGTTTGGATGTCTAACTTATGTTATTGCAGAATATTGTTTTGTATGAAGGACTTTGTGATGGATCATACTTGGTCATTACTTAGTTGATTAATTGAGTAATAGAGATAAGATTTTTATCTATGGACAACAAGGAATAGTTGTTTTTTTTTTTTTTTTTTTTTTTTTTTTTCTAAAGATCACATTATATCCATTATCTATTGAAATTTAGTTCAAGTTGCAACAAAGGTAGTTTCCATTAAAGGTAGCATTTGCAATGACCACTAACAAATTCTAAAGATAATCATTGAAGAATATAGGAATAGATCTTTAAACCTCTACATTTGCACGTGGATATTTGTATGTTGCTCTTTTACAATATTTTTTTCCAAATATGATAAAGATCTTTATATTAAAAATAATAAAAATAAAAATTTTAACATTAATATAATTTATTTTAAAATTCAAATTAATGATGGTTATTACATGTAATTCTTTTGAATTAATATACATGTAATTTTGAAGTTTATGAATTAGGTTTCTAAGTACTTAAAATTCTCATATTTGAAATTTATATAGGAATTTGAAAGAGTTCTAAGAATCCTTTAAATTATCTTCAAATCAAATCTCTTTATAATGAATGGGTGGACGTGAGATAAAGTATGGTCTAAAATAATGATTTTTATGGTAGCAACATGGTGAGGATACATAAACATGTTGAATTTTATACCAAGTGCATTCTATCTATAAATTCATTGATTCAATTTGCTAGTATATATACTAGCAAAAATTTGTGCCATTGGGCACAAAAAAGATATAAAATTTTAATTTGTTGTTGCTAGGTTGTAAATCAACAACATTTAAAGAAATATTGTCTAGTTAAGAAAAAAAAGAAATATATGTATAATAATAAAATCATTTATAATTTTTTAGTATTATTGGCAAGTATAATTTTTATTTATTACAAAATTAATAATGATTAATAGATCTTATTCATTAACAATATGGTTTTTTATAGGTTTTTTTGTTAGCAGAATGAAAGTATAGTTTTAAAATAAGATCTAATTTAGTTTTAAGATATTATTGATATGCTTTAAAATTCAAGTAAATTTTAAATAAAATACCATCAAATTATATATTAACAATAAAATAAAAATATAAATATAATAACTTCTATTTTTAAAATATTCTATATCTATATATATATATATATATATATATATATATACATATATGAAGAAATATTAAATTTATCCACTTAAATCTTAAATTGACCCACCTTACTTCCATAATTTAATCTCTACTTTTTTGATTCAAAAATAGAAAAACCTATGAACTCATTTATTTGATTTTGCCTTGATTTCTTACCAAATCTAAAAGTATAATGACCATATTTTATGGCACAAAAGAAGGAACTAAAGAAAAGTAGGGATAGATGGTATTGAATGAGGATGTGCCTTTGTATTGTGTATGCTAGAATTGGTTACCTAAGAGTGCTTTAGAATTGGAGCCAACACAAGGTAGTGACAAAGATCCCAAATTTCTTTAGTTATGAAGGATTTTTGGTTCATCTTTGCCACAGCCTATTAAATTTATATTATTTCTTATTTCTATATTAGTAAAATAGTCACAAAATTGAATAATAGGAGAAAAGTGGATCAACTTAAGATTTAGGTGGATTAATTTAATGTTTTTTCTATATATATATATATATATATATATATATATATATAATATTATAATTAATCAATATTAAATTATTGCTTAGATTTTTTTTTTAAAATGATGAGTAAGCAAATAATGTATACTTTTGTGATTTCAAGATTGCTGATTAGTTTATATCTTTAACTATTTCAATATTTGTTAAAGAAGGTTTTTATGTTTCTAAAAAGATTATCACACATAGTATAAAGCTATTTAAAAAATATATGTCAAAATCTACTCAAATGCATTCCCATTTCAGTGCGAAGTAAGTCAATAGTTTTATGCATAGCAAGTGGCCCAGAAGCGCTTCATACGAAATAGTAAACGAAAATTATGACTTAAGTACAAGGACACAAGTTCCAGGCGACGTATTGGCGAGAACATTTTTATTAATACAATTTACCATAACTACACAGAAAAAATTGTTCACCTAGATAGAAGGGTTATTTTGCAAGCGACAGAGAATAATATGAGCTGCGACCAACTATACCCAGCCTAATGCATGAGCTTATCCGCATGAAGATTTTCATGGGAAAATAAAAATGCCTATCAAATATACTGGAACTGATGGCTTTACCTGTTTTCAAAACCTATAAGGAGGTGCTGGAGGTATCTATATTAACTAATATTACCTGCCCCAGCTCATTCGCATCATCCGTTTCAGACCGCTGTCCTCTTGAGGACTTTCACTAACAAGCAACTTTGCCGAGCCATTTATATAGTTTGGATCTTTCAAAAAACCACCTTCTCCGAAAAGATTACCCATTGAGATACTTACTGCTTTACTGGGAACTTGTACGCATCCACAGTCTTTCATAATGAGTTCCAAAGTTTCTCTTTGTGCTGGACCAAGAGTATCGAAGTTTTTCAGCACACGCTGTATGGTCGGCAACAGAAGCTTGTTCACACTTTCGGGTGCTAAATCTGGAGATCAACAAACACATGTACGTTTTCAAAGGAGCATAGCACACTATTCATATTCATAACTACATATATCACTCATATAAAACAAGTTAGCATAGACAAACTATGCATAAAGCCTGACATCGGAAATCTTCGCATGAAATCAAAAAGTACCTTTGTGTTCACAAGTTTCTAACACCGTATCTTATAACAAGAACCAAGGTAAGAGATATTGTATATTATAATCGAAAATTGTAAGAATCAATCACTGCAAGCAGGATAAACAAAAAAATTTACCAGTTACGTGTAAAGCCCTGAATGCTTCGCAGATGACGTCCACCCTCTCTTCCCGGTACGTCAACTTAGCGTTTAGCAATGGCACTTCAGACAGTTGCACCAGTTTACTCAACAAATGTGTGAAGCAAGTTAAGTCCCAGCAGTATGTGCTCTGACACACTTTACATCACAAAAAACCAGACGCAAATTTCACACAAAAGAAAGCTTTATGATCTTCACTCCAAGACTCATTTTCGATCAATTTTCCAAGATAGAGCAAAATTTATGTGTTGGCATTTGTTTTTGTTCTCTACTCTTAGAAAAAAATTGTAGTACCATCACTACACAGAAATCGACAGTGATTACAGAATCGTTCTTAAAGTCTAAACTAACGACTTTGTCCACGTTTTAAAAGGATATAATCTTGCAAGCTGGATGACTTGACTGAAATCGCGGCAGATACGGCGTGAATCACTGCATTGGTGACCACATGCGAACCATCCTCTAGGAAAGCATCCAGTTGCATTTTTACTTTGTCCACTACCTTCAGATTGAACAAACAGCGAGTATTCAATATCACGGCATTCCTATGTCTGGATTACTTATTATTACATGCGAAATCACAATCGATCATATTTAGGTCCAAATATCAGAGGCCCAAATACGTCCAAGTCACAATAATCACAATCAGCGAGCTACATCTGCAATAGTTAAATTAAATATCACTACGTAATAGCAAAACCCGAGTTACCCTTGATCAATTAAATTGGGATTTATATATAATATGTAAAACACATTTGATAAAAATTTACCTCTTCTTCCCTGAAACGCTGAGATACGGCACCAAGTGCATCAATGGTAGCAATCTTGACATCCACGTTCGGATCTGTACCGAGTGTCACCAATGCTGGAATAATTTGTTGTGTTGCCGACTTCAAGGTGACTTTTCCAACCTGTGAGTAACCCAGAAATTCAGTAAATACTGGAACATAAAGAAACCTAAACCTATTTTTGACATTGTTCTAAATGCATAGAAAGAATTAAGGTCGAAATGTGGGCGTTTACTACCAGCAGTTTGGATAGTACAGCCGCACTGACTTTGACATCAGCATTTGGGCTCACAATAAGCTCCCATAATACCCCCACGATAAGTGCAAGGTGTTGATCAAACATGCTGCGTGCATAAAACAAGTCAGACTTGAGTCGGTTTATCATAGATGTGTACGTTGATACAGAACTATCAATGTAAACAAACATATTAAACAGCAGACTTAGGCGACCGAATAATTCTGACATAATAACACGTAGTTTAGGGTACTGATGGAAATGATCAGCACAGGGGGAACAAGGACATGGAACGCACACGCATAAATACTACAATTGATTGAAGATGAATTATAAGCTGAATTAGGGCCTGACAAATTGAATGAATCTAAACATAACAGGGACGCGAAATCTAGTTACCAAAGAAAGCGAACCGAACTAATGTATTCTGGAGTTCGTATAGAATTCCAAGCACCGATCTTCATAGTTGACTTCAGAATCAACTCTCGAAGGTAGAGAGCTAGCTGTCCATTTTCCATCTCAGGAGCCCCTAATACACCGACTAGAAGAAGCGGTAGAACACACATAATTGCCAACTGTTCCTCCACCACTGTCCGTGGTTTCAGCTCTGCCAGTTGCCATGCAATCAGTTAGAAAAGGAAAGAGAAGTACATTCAATCCAAAATCAGAAAGAGACTTCTGAAGTTCGGTCAAGAGTAACTGAAGGTAGAGAAGGGTAAAAGGTAAATTACAAGCAAGAGCCTGCGAGCGAGTCCTATTTACTCACTCTTGACTAGAAAGAGTTTGCCTTAGCAACAGTTTGACAGCTGATAATACTGGAATTAGAAACATCAAAAGCAATTGCTTTTATACAAAATATTTCTATTTTTATTTCGTTGAAAGGATATATTAAAGTCCAAGACATAAAGATGAACCTTTAATGTGATCTGCCAACTGCTTTGAAAATTGTGAGCACTCAACATAATCACCAGCAGCCAAAAGAAAGATTCGCAACATAACAATCTTGACGTAGCTGCTGCCAAAGCACTCACAAATCCTGTGAAGGACCTGCATAGCAGCATAAGCTCAAGACTTTAGAGCGTACAGATTTCAAATAACTTAACGCGAAGGCAAATGGCTTTTCCTAACGCGTTACAATGACAACTTGGCACATTGCAAACAATCTGGTTCAGACAAGAAAGTACACCTTGCAAATTTGTGTCCGAAGACTTTCCTCTTGACAAGATAACATATGGGAAAGCTGAAGCAAGGTTGGGAAACAATCCTGAAGCAGCCAGTCCAAAGCAGGCCACTCCATACTTGATCTGCACAATGACCAAGTATCAGCTTCAGCTCTCAAAGGCAAATGAAATAAAATCAATCAAATGAACAGAATACAATAGGTAAATTATAGAAAATTTAAGCAGAGAGAAAGTGCAGAATCTCAACAGAATCTTGGTAATAAAGATAAAAACCTGCGTAATATTAATCTAACTTATAAACTTAGAAGAGGTTTGAGGTAATTTCATTCAAATTGGCACTGCGTGAATCTGGATGACAATTACACATTGTATATACTGAACCTTGGAGGTTAGGTGATATGATTGGAATGGTTGTAACGACAATACACGAGAGTAATATCACTGAAAAGAACATGAGTCATAAGTTCCAGCAGAACTTTCAGAAAGTTGACCACAATAATGAAAAAACTGTGAACCTGATGTATAGTGTTATAATATCTTCTGTAAAGAAGCAGGCGTTCAAATCAGTACTAATTGTTTCACTTGAGAACGGACACGAATTAACAGCAGCTTCTTGAACCTCGGGAATCAATTGCATGAGCAACCGCAACAACACATCAGTGTTGCTTCGTCTCCTGTCGTCAAGATCTCGGAGTTGCGCCTCCAAAGTGCCTTCAGTTTCTGAAATGCGCGGACATCTCTGCCAGCACACACAAATCATATGTAACTATCAACTCCCAGAATCATAAATAAATGTCAATCGACTGGTCGCACAAGTAAAGAGAATAAGTGGACTCAACTTGCACGCCCATATCTTCATTTAGACCGGGCACATACGAACACTGCAGCACAGGCTTATCTGTGATGTTGTTATAGCACAAATATGCGAAATTTGAATTCTCTTACAGTATACCTGGGTAGTCGTCAGAAGCCGAGCGAGAACTCCACGACACAGATGAGTTAAAGAATACTTTTCCCGCTTGAGCCATAAAATCAAGCCAGGAACAACCTCTTCCAAAGTGGTTTCAACCACGGGACCAACAGGATCGCAGGTCAAATCTAACATAAGAGCCTCCACCTGTGCACAACATTGTCGCAAAAACTACAATTAAGTAAATATCACCACGTTACTCGAGGTGTTAACATATGTATGGTACCAACATAAATTGCTAAGAGACTCTAATAATAAGCAAGTGTGAATATGCCAAACTTCGAAAATGACGACTTTTTCTAAAATCTAGCATTGATTAATTAAAAAAACACAATTGCCAACTTACAGACTACGCATTGCACATATGAACAATAAAAAATCACTTAGTAACAATAATGTCATCCAATCAACGTCCGTTCCTTTATGATCTCCATAGACGACACTAATGTAGGTCAATGAAGGCCTGGGTAACGGCGGCTCTTGGCAGTAACTGTAGGTGACTGCTGGAAAATCCCCCGATGCCACAGGTTCTGCACCCATTACTACAGTACTAAAACTAAAGTGCTTACTTCGTGCATCAGGCACTGAGGATTTCAAAATGCAGCTTCCGTTAGTTGTAGCCTTGGCAGGGCTGACCTTGGAATAAATATCGACGTTGGAGAAGCGAGGGAGTAAAACTGCCAAATTATGAGCTGCAGCCTTGCGCACAATTGGTGCCTGATCCCCCACTAGCTGTTGTATTATTGATAAAATGAGAGATGCGCGCATTTCATATCCAACCATTAGACCAAGCTCCCCACAAGACTGCGCAACAAGAAGCCTCCTTTCTTCATACTTGTGGTCAATCTATAAAAGAATCCGTAAAGCAGATTTCAGCACAGTATAAGCTACATCTTTCCATAATGCGGTCGACAGAGACGAGGAACTTGCAGGAAGGAAATCAATTAGAAGCCTCAGGAAGAATAGAACATAACAAGCTGTAAATACTATCAACCTGCTCCCAACACTGTGGTAATAATTCGGTTTCAGTCCGTAATTGTCCGACATTCCTTGATAGCTCTACACAGGCCTGCAATCCAAAAAAGACAGTAAAGATGGAACTTCTAATGAAGACATATGAGAAAGCTACAAGCTCATCTAACGAATTCCAAAAGATCGTAAACAACTTAGGAATATTAGATATAAAATTGTCCAACCAGCTGGCAGCCCCTATCCAGAGCTCTAAGTCACTAGCTCCATTTATTAACCATACATCACAGTATCGTAAATACACTAAATCGACATGTGAATTGTCAGAAAGGAAGAGAAGCAAGAAATCAGACTGAACACTAGTGGAAATTTGAACAGTAAGTTATTAAGTTTATGAATGACATCCACGCCCTGTTGAACAAAAGTGTGAAGCAGGTAGGTATGACAACAGCTAAGCTCCATCAATCTGTTATGTAAAATCTTCTGAATGAGACTTGAGGCTCCAAAAACGTTAGAAAGTAACGAGAACGTTGCTAGAAGGGAAGTCGAAACCATAAAACTACAGTTGTCTTATTCCAAAATTCGCACTCAACTTGATGACACGACATAAAACTTTCAAATCTTTGATTGTGCAAGCAAGACATTCAGAACTGCATCGAAGAAGATACATCTAGTGCAAGGACTGGTTAAAAGGTATTCAAATACGCAATTCCAAGAAACGATTTTTCAATTCTGTAAGAAAAGATTCATGAAACTTACATCCATAATTATGCGTCGTTGCTGTTCATCAGGCTTCTTAATGAGATTAAACAAGAGATGTGTGAGAGAATCTCGCACACTACAATCCGGATGTTTCTCAATAGCGCAGCTTATGAGAGGCAGTAGCTCCTATGAAAATGATCACAAGAGGTTGTAAAAATTTCAGAATAAAAACAAGTCAAAGAAGGTGCCAAACATCAGCAGAGCATTAATTATGTAACGTTATTCTCTATGACGGTAAGTCAAGGATTCAGAGAGATGCACAGGAGTGAGAGTTTCGCTGTGCAAACACCATTTCCAATAAACAGGATTATGAAACCATTCCAAATGACACTCGAGAGTTACGAATTGCACAGTAAAAGCATGTACATTTTAGTACAAGAAAGGAATCAATAAAGAAGAATGAGAATTGATTGTTTACCAGTGTCCACTTGTAGGTGAACATACTGCACAGTGAATATTAAATGGGACGCGACTGACTCAGATTGATACATGGTAAGTGTAGAACCTCTCGGTGATTGATCAGGACAAAAGGAGCAATTTTAGGTAAAGCATCCGCCAGTATATGTACAGTTCCAAGCTCCTGCACACACAATTCGATAAAATTTGGTGTTCGATCAACAAAATGACCTGAAAGTTATAAAATTAAGTTTGAGGGACTACCAATGCTTCAGCAAGAGTAAAGAACGCGTTCAAGCCATTGTAGAGAACATTTATGGAATTTGTAAATATACTCACCGACGTGCGCTCATCCTGAAAATCCATCAAACCCGCATGGTTGTTAAGATCAAGAAAATCAGTAATTTCTCCACTGTCGTCTCCTTCGTCTGGTGTTCTAAAACCGTTGCTATCAACCACACTTGAATTTTCATATAGATCTGCAAACCTATCCTCCATCGGGTTCGATCCGCTTAATGTCATTACACATGCCTCCTCTGTACTCTTCTCAGCAACTTTCTCCACAGTTTCTTCACATTTCAATCCTAGTGTAGCTTCAAAGGATGTCATCTGTGCAGCTACAGACACTTGATCCTGGTTTACCAGAAGTGCCCTGCTAGAAATCACGTTTTCGAGTTCCAACTTCAGTGAGGTCACCTCAGCTCTGCAGTCATTCAATTGTATGGTTGATTGCTCGAGAGATTCTTTCATCTGTTGCACCTGATGAGAATGGAGACACCAATAAAGATGAAGAGTTTTCGGGCATTGAGGTGCCTTTACCATTAATAATAACCAAAAAGCTAAAATCCAGTATCTCTAGAAAGAAGATTCCAAGGCCTGATATTTGTAGAAGAAGATCAATCTTCAGAGCCTAATTCCCTTTGGATTTGCAAAATTGTAGCTTGATGGAATTTTAAATGTAAGATGATGAAACAATTAATCATAAAAATACAGGAGTGGAAGTGAAATATACTTACATGCCTATCCTTCTCCTTCAAAGCTCTCCTCAAGCTCTCCGCTGATTTAACCATCGACATATTCTCTACTTTGAGGACCTCTTTTTCTTTGGAAAGCGATTCTATCTCTTTAAGAAGAGCATCCCTCTCCTTGTGAACAGCATCCTTATCCTTTAAAAAACACAAACGAGGAGCACATAGAGCATATGTTAAGTGGTCTTCACATGCAAACGCTTGACTAACAAAGAGTAACTAGAATTCAACACACCTGCCTTGCTTCAACAGTGGCTGCAAGGAATGCTCGATAGTATTGGCGAAGAGCTTCTGGAACATGGGCAGCGGTGTGAGGCCAAGAGTCCAAATCGATATTCACCTGCAAAATCGAACGAATTTTATCATTAAAATCAGAAAAAGACGAATTCGATTCAAGCAAATAAAAATTTAGACCTTCTCTTTATTAAAAAAGGTGGAAGTCAATAATTGTAAGCAGTTAAGTGAGCGTTCTAAAATTCCAGTGCAGCTAATTACACTACAAATACAAAATCGAAGAGGGTGATGATTAAAGACCTAGACACACGGGCTGACCAGTGACGATAATACAACACATTTTACTTTGCTGCATCCACGAATACGGTAAAAGACCTTGAGCTTTCTTCAATACCTCTTCTTGGAAAGTCATGGCAGCAATTTTATAACCAGCGAACATTAAGTACTCCTTCACAGCACAGTCAAGGACTAATCTCTCTTTCTCGCCAAGCAGCTCTAAGACTACTGCATTTCCAGAATTAGCCGAAAGTACTTCCATGTCACTTTCAACAACTCCTACACAATCCTCTGCAACAACCACCGGTGTGAAACAAACTCAGCTGCACATAATTGCGATTAAGAATAGATTAATTATTTCCAAAGTTTCATTAAGCTAGTTGAAACTCAAGAATACCGTGTAAGATATTAATCAGGCCAATAAGAGAATTGTTACTATAGTCGCAGGATCAAAGTAGGGGCAAAACGTTGGGGAGCAACGCAGAAGTAAATCTGCGTACCAGACTTCAGCAAATCCGCGGAAACGTCAAATTGAGTTGCTGATTTCTCGTGCAAATTCTTAATGTCTTCTCGTGCTAGTCGTAGTTCGTATTTACACAAAGCCGCATGTTCCAGGGCCAATTCCTTCTCCCTTACAAGCTGCACAGCATCAATTCCTACACCAGTTCACATTAGACTAATACCTAGAGGCAAGAGAGGTCTCTTACACCATAATGGTTCAATTGACGTACATGTAACTGTATGTATATCACTCTGTTATATACCGCTCTGAACGTGATTCATGACTTCCCCGTACAGCGGAGCTTCTTCGCATAAATTTAATAGTCAAGCTCTATGATGAACTTGGAAAGAGGATGTGAACGGAAAATTTCTAATCTTTAGATTCACAGGTTTAGCAAGAGTGGTTAGCGTAGGAAAGATACTCCAAGAATGATCAGCCATTCAGAGATCTACTCTCTTGAGACTGGCAAGGCAAGAAAAATTAACAGAGTTCGGAGATGAAAGAGCAAGTGCGAGGGCTAACATAGCAACCATCTACATTGCGAAATGCACAGCTAATCTTGATGAACAAAGCAGATGCTCCTCTGCGTGCTGAGATCCAAATCACCAGAATGTGGAAGTGGATTTCTGGGGTGCGAGGCAAGATCAAAGTGGCAGAATCAGTAGATGTAGAGTAGATAGAAACCCCTCGTCTGATCCATTAGTGAAGATCTCTAAAAAAACTGAAAACCCATAAAAAGTGAAAATCTGAAGAGAGCGAAAAACAAAGGTAAATAGCCAGATTCTGCATACACTGGCGCCAACCGAATTACAGGAATAATATGTCACATTACTGGCACTGAACCCCACCGCGCTGAAAACTCTCAGTTCACGACATAATGCGTAAAACAAACTCGCCAAGAAATTTGCCTCTCGACGGCATACATTCAAGAACGACCAAGAATGAATCCCTGCATCGCCTAAACCGGGAACTACCAACCTTGAAGTGCGTTCAATTTAACAATCTCTTCCGGCGGGAATAGATTTGCATTGGCAAAGAAAAGCTGTAACTTGGTGGCGCAATCCGCAAGTCCATCTTCCTGAAGCTCCTGGAGAAGCTCAAATGCTGTGAGAAGATAATTCTCCTGCAGCAAGAAATCAATGCAAGCCTTTCGAAGCGCATCTATGTCGCTGCTTCCAGGAATGAGGTGTTGCATCGCCATGGTTGCCTCTGAATGGCGTCCACCATGCCCAGCACTGCAAGCAACAAAGCAGAGCTGAAGCATCCGTGGGGGCACTCACACGTCGTGACAGGCCCTGCTCTGTTCCAGCCAACTCCCCCACCCCCGCCCCGCGCCATCTCATACCCGGGGATCCCCCCCCCCCCCTCCAGCCCTGACTGGGGGGTATCATCTGTCCAGGAACGACCAACTCTGTCCACGGTTCCTCATCCATAGCTCTCTGAATGTTTCTTCACATTCCGTTTGACAAGATGCTTGCCTGCAGAGTCTATTCAATATGCGCAGCCCAATTCCTCTCTGCTGTAGTGTTTCTTTTTGAGAATTTGAAGAGTTCAGGCGCTGAAACAATTTCTCGTTGAATCGTACCATAATGCTGTGAACTATTTCTGGTTTTTTCCAGGGAGTTGCTTTGGTGATAGATTATGTTCCCTGACGCTGTTGCTTCCGAGGTGTGATTGCTGTGAAATACGCTAGGATTAGTGCTTTTTGCAGGGAATAGCAATAATGTTCATTCCTAGGTATTGGTGGCCGGTGATTGTGAAGGGTTGCAGAAGCTATCGCGATCGCAAGTGATTACTCCCTGGTGCTTGATCGCAGCGGCTGAATTGATTGTGTTAATCAAACGTGCAACAGTGAGGCAATACACAAACTAAGATACAGTAAATATGACCCTCAAGAGTAACGCTGGAGTACCAGTACACACACTTCACTGATGTTGCAAGAAAAGACGACGCCTTTTATCTCTCTGGGCGAAGATATCCGTACTTCTCTGCCCTGAGGTGGTGTGCAATGTAAGGAGATGGCTAGTTTTCAGGAATGCCGTTGCGGTCCTCTGGTGGGTGCGAGCGATTGATCCTGTTTAATGGTTTGTTTCCTACTCTTGGGTGCAGATACTGATGACGAGCGGATGAGTGTTTCAGTGTCAATCCTTCATCCTAATTCTTTGGACATTGCTGGTGTTCAGTTCAAGTATCTACAGTTGGTTTTTGAATTTGCTGGAGCGTCGTCTTTTTTCTGCTTCTACTGAGGCTCCTATGCGGACCGATGTTCCTCCAACCTGTGAAGCTCCAGAATCCTTGCCTGTTTGCCTTTCTAATTCCCAACTTGCTGTAACCAAGCATAGTTTGGTGTCTACACAACAATCTACTTCTTGCTTTGGGGATGTTCATTTGAGAGAGGACCAGTTGTTGTTTCGACCTAGCAAGTACCATATAGTTCGATGAAGATTTATTCCTGGGATCTACAAGACTTGGTTAGACTGTGAGCCGGAGGTTAAAGGCTTTGAAGGGGCTAAGTATAAAATGTTTAAGACTAGATTAGAAGCAGAAAGATTTTGTGTTGAACTAGATTAAGAAATTTTGTTTATTATCTAGTCACACTAAGAGAGTTCACTATATTTAGTTGTTCCTTGAATTTTTCAAATAAAGAAGGCCTAAGTGGTTTTGTAAAAATGTTAGCTATTTGTTTTAGTATTAGAACTTATTGTAAGTTATTTTCTTTTGATTGAATTTTTTTTCTAGTGAAATAGTAATGAGTAGCTATGAGCCTTATTTGTAGATTTATTCTTAGATTTGTTGCTATTCTAATACTCCTTGCATTCTTACAATAGATAAGTATTGGTTCTTTGACATTAAATTGTAGATCTTGAAGTAACATAGTGAGCTATAAGGCTTCTTGTGATGCATCTGCTAGAGCATCTAATCTAATCAAAATCTATATTTTATGAGAGTTTTGTTTGAATATTATTTAAATATAAAATTTCATAGTCAAAAGTACTCTTGATGTAGCATAATATCTTTTAGATGCAAGTTAGTAAGATTTCTAAAGTTTTTTTTATAAAGCAACAAACAACTCTAATAACAAATTGAATGTCAGTACAAATATATGACAAATAGAGACATTTTATGACAATACTATCATATTGTGATGGATCCACTTCTTCTTTATATCAACTTTGAGTTTATTCTTTTCATCTATCAAAGTTATTATTGATATATAATTTTCCATTTCAAAAGTTTTAAGAATATTTTGAGCATATGCTTTTATTATCATAAAGATTTTTTTTGAACTTATACACATTTTACTTTTAGATATAATATGATTTCTCTTTCTAATAATTATGATTTTTTAAATTTTTTATATAATTATTTCTTGAATTTAATTATACTTTCTATGTAATTTTTAATTATGAAGAGATTGTTTATATAGAAGGCAATAAGAATTATTATGCCTTATAATAATCTTGAATATAGGTTGTGTTCACCTATATTTTGCTAAAATCCTACTCCCTTTAAGTATAAATTTATTTTTATATATCAAGCATGTGATGCTTGTCTTAATCTATAAATGGTCTTTTATAATTTGCAAACTAGTTTTTCTTTTCCAAGTACCTCAAAGCCTTGAGATTGAGTGACATATACTTTTTTCTTCAATTTTTCATGTAAGAAGGTAATTTTTACATCCATGTGACATAGTTTCTAATTATTTTGAGGAACAATTAAAAACATGGCTTTAGTTGTTGCTTATTTTATGATAGGGCAATTTTTTCTTTATATTCTATTATTTCTTATTGTTCAAAATTCTCAGCTACCAACTTAGTCTTATGTTTCTATAAAGACCCATTAGTGTTTAATTTTGCTTTATAAATCCATTTTTTTGAAAGAAGAGACTTTCTTGAAGGTCAAGTTGTAAAAAACCATATCTTATTTACGTGTATAGATTCCATTTCTTTTGTTATTGTTTGCATGCATCACTTGTAAACAAGAGAGCAACAAGCTTATAAAACATTGGAGGCTCTATTTTGAAGAAAGTTATTAGTTCGGCAAAATGATCTCCTAGCCATCTAAAATAGCATACTTAGTGGCCTACCTTTGTCATGGTCAATAAAATGAGACCGAACTATCTCAAAAATCTAAGATCCTTTTATTCCATAGCAACATAAATTCCATCACAACATAGAATAGAACAAACTCTAATAAAACAAAATAGAGTAGTACTAAACATGAAGATGTAAAACCAAACTTTACAAAGAAAAAGGGTCTAAAGTCATACCTAACCAAATGTCCAAATGGTCCTAGCAAGTCCTATTTATACTTTGTTCAACTATCATGGAACTTTTTAGAATATTTTAAATGGTGGATCCTACTTAAATAACTATTTTAAGCTCTTTTTAGAATGTTCTATGGTAGATCCTACATAGCCCACTAATTTAGCTCCAATTCTAGAAACTTCTATAAACTTCTCAAACATAGTGCCAATTATCTATTTCTATGTGTTAACAATACAAATATCTTATCTATACCTCGTTACAGTTATTTTTCCTCTATTAATACAGAATATGCTTATTTTGCTCCCAATGGTATCTCCAAATTATTTCTTAGCAATGGGTGAGGTTTTGTATAAGTTTTTACATTGCATTGTGGATGGAATAACCTTTGCGAAGGACTTTGTATTGAAATTGTAGATGTCCACTGCCACGGCGAAGATAGCAATGTTCCAAAAATGTTGTCTATTTCATATTCTTATTCATCATCAACTACAATTGGTAGTTGTGGTGGCTGATGTCAGTCCGGAAAGCACCTTAGCTTGGTATGAAATACCTTGAATTATGAAACATGGAAGACCAGATGGACTCGAATATGTACAAAAACTTAAGGCAATATGCAATATCAAAAATCACTATAGAAATGTAGAAAGATCCAAGCCGCAAAGTGCTAAATTATAGATTTGGGTTGATGTAGCAAGTAGGAAGTTGGAGGTGAAGAGTAATACCTAATCACCTTCTTAGAAGGTCTTGTATTGTAAATAGTTATCCACATACTACTTCTATCAATTCTATGTAATAAGGAGATAATGTTGTACTTCTTGTAAGGCCATTGTAAATTGTTGTATAAACTCCTTTGTTATCAGGTTGTTGATATCAATCGAATAATAGAGAGTTGCTGGTATAATCGGATGCCAACTAGTATTAAAGAAGAATGATAAATGATTGATACTTGCTTCAATACTATCATTGTAAGCAAATTCCAATGGTGTCAAATATTCATTTCAATCATTATGATGAATTGCTATGAATGTCCATAACATGTCTTCTAAGGTCCAATTTGCATGCTTTATTTGTCAATTTATTTGGAAATGGAAGACCATGGACATGGTAAGTTGTGTGCCCAATAGCTTGAACAAGGCTTGCTAAAAAGTTTTTGTGAAGCATTGATCTTGATCTCAAATGATGACACGAGATAATCTATGGTGAGAAGAAACAATATCAAAGAAGACCCTTACAAGTATTGGAACATTAATATCTAAGTATACCATGGCCAAATAAAGGTGCTTCAAGAGTCAGTCCACAAAGACAACAATCGTAGTGTAATTGTGAGGTATCTATGGGAAACACATTATTGTATTGTAATATGATTATATGCTGAAATTATAATAAAAAATAAATTTTTAATTAATATTTAATCATCTTGGTTCAATAATAATTTAAGACATTTAAACATGGCTTTTATAAAAGCCTCTTAGTTTATTTTCTTGTCTTAATAACTAGTAGATTAAAGGTTGGTTAGTAATTTTACCTTTTAGGTGGTAAAAATTCTTTTGTTGCCTTAGGAAGGCCATAAATTGATAAAACTAAGTTAAAAGAGGTAAATAATAAGCATGGTTGATACTAAGATTAAGTTGAAGATAAGATTGGACTAAAAAATCCTTAGAATAGATTAGATTGATATCCAAGGTTTGACCATTTATAAGACAAGATTAAAATCGAATCTCTAATCACTAAAACAACCGCCGAGAACAAAGTAGGGTGGCATTTGATGATTGGCAATTAGAATTGGTGAGCTAGCTTTAAGTTGACTCCAAAAATGTAAGGCTTGTTTTTAGAAGACTTGGAATGACTTTGTAATTATTATTCACAATTAGAATTTGTATCATTGATTTGGAACTTATACAAAACAATTAAAGCTAGCACTCTTGCCTAGTTCATGCAATTAGTATTATATCTATGGTTCAAAATTTGATAGTGCTTGATTTATTACATGTGTTAAGTATATATAAAATTTTATATTAATCTAATGGTGCAATTAGGAGATAACTAGATTTTGGTACAAGAAGATATTACAAGTTGGCAGTTTATGATTGGATAGGATTTCTATGATATCTAAAGTTCTACTAATCAGATTAAGGCGAAATTTGGCATTATTGTAGAAGATTTTAAGATCAAGCTATATATAGATTTTGAGTTAAAGTTAATAATTAGACAATTATTTTACTATTAACAAGATATGGTTATTTTGTTGTAATATTAAGACTATTTGTCTTTGTGACAAATTGGACTATTATAAACTTTGAATATTTTTTTGTTTTTAAATACATCAATCTAATTACACATCTATTACATCCATAATTATGTTTAAGATTGGCATAGATATGTTATTAATAAATATACATAGGAGCCATCCAAAAATCTAATAAATGAAAAAAAGAAGGTTGATATTTTTCATTGATGACATCTATTAAAACCAAGATAAAAAGTGAAAGAAACTTTTGGCAATAAAACAAAGAAGGTTCAATGAAGATTGCATTCTACCTTCTATTTTTATTTATAATTTTTTTATATTTTTGATGCTAATGAGATGAAGAATTAATGACCAAAAAATTCAATTCAAGATCTATTACTTATTGACTTACCAAACAAGGCATTAAGATTTTCTTAGCTTTTAAGTCAACATAATAGAAATTAAAAAATCTTTAAAATAACCTATTATTCTTTGAATAGATGGAAAAATATAATGTATTTGGTATCATGACCTTAGAAACAATTCTTGATATTTGATCATATTATTAGAAGTAGAAACTATTCATAATAGTATTTCAAATTTTTTATTTGAAAGATATTACAAAAGCCTCAAGAATGATCATATAATAGAATCGACATCCTATTGTAGTATAGGATATCATTAATGGTCTAGGAGACATATCAACTATCTTTAACAAGAACAAAGATCAAAGTATGTTATAAATATAGCTTACCTCATATTAGACTTTTTCATTATGTGATCACTATTTCTTGTAAAATACGTCCCTAGAAAAGAAAAAATGTCAAAGATATATATATATATATATATATATATATATATATATTTATTAAAAATTATGTAAATTATAAGATATAGATAGAAGTAAATAGAAGCTAATAAATTCAATAATATCTTATAGAGAAGCTTTATAGATACAAATTTGACTTTCTATATATTGATAAGTAATTAGTAGGTTGAAAACTTGGCCAATAAGTTAGCTTAGTGTTTCACATGTTCACTACTTACTTTATAAGTTGGCCACATGTTGTATATGTTGGTCATTTTTTGTACAAATTTACTATATAGCGCATATATTGGAAACTTGTTTTGCAAGTTAAATCAATGTTCAATAAGTTGGAAATGTGTTTGATGACCTAAAAATTGTTGCCATGTAGTCCTCTAGTTAGGTAGTATATAAAGAAATAAGAATAAAGCCTTCTTCATTCTTGTCAATATCATTCTTTTTTTCTCATCTTAATTCAAGAATTTCTAGTCTCTTTTTATTTTGTAATAGCCATTCTAATTTCTATCTCATATCTATCTTTGATTTATCTACTTTCATTCTTTAAGTATAACACAAGTATTTAATTTTTTTAAAAACAAAATTATAATTCATATCATTGATAATATTTTATAAATTTAATAGTTTTTATGAAATAATTTAGATATTAAAATAAGTCTATAGCATACAATAGTATTATTAAGGTATAATTTTTTTTAAATATATTTTTACAAGATTTTTTTTGATTTGTTATAATAGTCATTTAAGAAATAAGTTGTTATTGTAGATGGTTTTTTAAGTTTTGTAAGTAGATAATACAAGTTATTAGTGAATTTATTACATATCAACTTCATCATACACATATAAAAAATAAACAAAGTGAACAAATTATCAATCAAAATTTTAAACAATTACAATAGAGTTATTTAGGATATATTATATAATTTTTTATTCCAAAATCATCAAGTTGATAATAAATCTTTTTTAAAAACTTTGTGTGTGTGTGTGTATATATATATATATATATATATATATATTCTATTTTTATTTAGAATTTAAAAAATAATAGTAATTTATCTTACATATAATTTAGTCTTTAATATTAAAATTATACTTTTAATCTAATATTTAAGATGTTTTGTGTATATATTTTTAATCACATGAAATTGAATTATTTATATTTTATTTTACTTTTTGAGCCTTTCTAAACTATGAGCTTGTAATATCACATTTCTCAACTAAAAATAATTTTCTATTTTATTTTTTATTTTTAATACCTATAGCAACATCTTAACATTTGAAATTCAAGTTGAAACAATAACTGCTGCTGGCATTGCCACTTCTACTAGCAAATCATTTTGGTTAACATTTTTATTCAATTGTTCATTCCAATGTTATTAGATATCAATGACAAAAAAAAAATTAAAAGCCATTTCATGCAACAGACTTAAAATTTATGGTAGGTAGTAGGACAGAATAATACAATCAAATAAAATAAAAATGCACAAAACAGTACTCAGAAGAAAAAAAAAGTGGAATAAAATAATGTAAGTGGACACCGTATTTTGAACCTCTTCAAATTCTAAGTTTGAATTGTAATTGAATAACAAACACTAAATTTTGTTCATAACTTTTAAGCAATTAAAATAAATGAATGAATAAAAAGTAAACGGTTGTAATATTAGGCAATTGCTGTACAGATCAAGGGAAGCTGACTTGATGATGAATGGAGGTGTTACACACTTCCTACAGTTCAATGATCACTGATGTGAAGGACCTATGTCACAGGTCACTTGGTTGGACCATTACCTTGGGACTTTCCGAAAAGTCAGTGGGTGATGTTTGGTCCTACTCTCGCATGATTTAGACGGCTCTACGCGGCAGGTTCGTATCCTACTCATCGGTTGTACTCTAGTGCATGGCGAGTTGCAAGTATTCTGGCTTGTGCTTTGAATTGGAATTAGAATAACCAAGAGTTTCACGATAGATTACAAAATTCTGTGGACCATTTCCTGTTTTAATATTTCACGGTTGGCTCGACTAGCATGGAGGTTTGTACAAATCTTTTACTAACTCTACAGGGTGAAGTCGAGAATTTGCAACCCGACATCATGTCCTTACTTCTGAGCACTGGTTCATCTAATTATCTATAATAAAAATTGAGTGTCTGGTGTGGATCTAGCACTTGTTTGAATCGATGTCGAGCAACGCCCACAGCTCCCTCGGAGGCATCTACTACTGTCTCCCCTACAAATTCGACTTGGTCACCAACGGTGGTGCAATAAATCTGCTACTTGGTTTTACAAGTAGTATCCTCACTATCAGCTGACTGCCTTGAAAGGCGTCGCAATCTTGGACCAGTGAGTGAGCTGGTGGATTCAGCCCTGCTAAGAAGCAACTCTCGCTCCTTCGTCGTATCGACTCCTTTGCAAGGTTCCCGTGTGGCTCGAGCGACTGGCAGCTCATCCGAGAAGTTGACATGACGACCGGGTGTACTAATCCTCTTTGAAGGAGTATCTCTAACAGGAACCACGGTCTCTTGCGGTCTTCCGAAGCCTCCAGTGATGCCCTGAAGGAGTCTAGGTGGTAACAATACTTGGTGACAGCAACAGAGGACAATCACAACCTCAAACATGAAGAGACTGAGAGCACTCCACAGATAGAACGTCCATTTCCATCCACGCAGAAGGTCCTTTGACCAGGGTAGCACTGATAGCACTTGTGCCTCCGCAGAGTACACTTCAGGTAACCCCTGTCCTCTTGGAGAGCCAGCCCTCGACTCTAGTACAAATCTCACCATGGCCGTTGGAGTAGTAGTCTCCTTTTCGTTCTCGAACAATCGCAAACCGAGCACTTGGGACTCCTTCGATAGGCCCATCACAAGGGGAACCCCAAGGATCACTTGCTTCGCATATCGTACTGGAGAGCTTTGAAAACGCAACATACACGGCCAACTAGCTCGTTTCAAGATTTGACCTCTTACTGACAGCAACTCGGCACTTACCTGTGAATCATGAACACACTCACCTTAAGGAGCAAGCTTGTAGTATCGATTGCGAGCATACAACACCTTTTACACTCCTACACCACTAAATCCTATCAGGACCATATTAATTCTCCTGACATCGGCAAGAATTAGAAAACAAACCTGAAACATGCCAAGTTGCCGGTTGTAGTGAGACTCTGGAAGTGTCAGGAAGATGGAGACATGCAAACTGTGTGAAAGAGGTATCGCACGGGCTCGGAGGACCTTCTCAGGGTATGCATCGCCTTTAGCCTTAGCACGGACTTTTGGGGGCAGAAGAGACACGATTGCACTTGGATGCTCCTGCTTCAGTTAACCCAGAGATTCTAGTAAGTGTCAAGGCATTACAGGTCGACTAAAATCACAAGCTAGGTGCTGTAGAAATAGAAGAAGTTGCTGATAGATTGCAAACTCGTACCAAAGTTGGGCCAAAAAAATGCATCGCAAGAAACATAGCTAGTTTGCAACTGCACAAATGCGCAGGCCTTTCACGGCCAAATTGAAAAGCACTGCCAAAAGTAATAGTAAGTTTTTATCTTAAAAAGCCCACCCCTTTTACAAGATCGTGGTGAATATCCGGCCACTAAATGATCAGTCCACAATCGAAAGCAGGGAACAGTGACATTACCTCCCTGTAATCGAAGTGAAGAATCTGGCGAAACTCCACCGGTTCGTCAATAAACTGGCGCACGAGAAAGAGATCAAGAAACAGGGCTGGAACGAGGAGAGACCCTAATATGAACATGACATAAACTGCTGCGAGACAACCGCATCCACATTTCTTCGTTGTCTGTTTCAACGCGGGTGTTGCTAGAGCAACGCTTTCCATTACTCTGGGTCTAATTTGTGTGACAACAGTGTAAAGATCCACAATAGTCGTCAAAGTTACGTTTGCAACCCTCAGGGCTGAGCGAAACGGAAATGTGATTACTGAAAAGCTGAAACTACAAATCCAAAGAGCAAAATAGACTGTCTGCAGTATAAGCTTCACTTGAAACCCTATCATATCAAATGCAATCCCAACTGGCCACGAAAGAATCCGACTCCCCACTTCCTCTGCTGCACCAAGTGCCTCGCCTTCCCTTCTGAAAAAGGTGTACACTCGTTTGGTGTCCATCTCTCGTGAATTTGAAGTTTTTGCAGGAGTGTCATGGTCAAAGTCAATCGTCTCCTGCACAGTATTATTCAAAGAGCTTGCAACGTCTTCGGCCCCCAGCCAGTCATCAGATATCTCTTGTGCAGTGCAAGTAAGATTTCTATCCTTATCAATATCATTGGATATAATCACTGAGCTCGTTTCGACTTCAGCCGAGATAATTGTTGTGCCTGATTGGAGCATCTTTGCCTCCTCGGAAATAACCATGGAACGTATTTCATGTATCAATTGACCCTCTTTGCATGAGGCTGCCCCTAAGTCTTCTAAAACCCCCACATTCAGGGCATCCTTAGCACCGCTACAAACCCCTACACGACCACTTGTTCCGGGTACTTCTTCAAGACATACTCGCTCCTCGTCTCGCGATTTGACACCTTCGAGCGAATTACTGGATGAACCGTCCATATCCGAGGATAATTCCGCATCCAAATCCTCACAAAGTTTGGGAAACGTGACACGGCTTCCTGGAGAATCAGCATCCTGGTTTCTTTCATCTTTGTCAAGGGATTCTGAGACGGAAGGCCAGATCGGATTAGAAGCAATACCGAACGATAGCTCACCTGACTGGGACGCAGTGAGACCGATAGGAGTGGCCTGCACAGTGTGGGCAAGGGTGGATGCAGTGGGCGTGGGGGGATTGGCAGCACAGAAAGCAGAATTGACAGCATCATCATCATCACCACCACCACCACCACCAACACCATGTGGGGCTACGGAGTGAAGGGAGGAAGAGGGAGAGAGAACGGACGAATCCATAGGGGGCAGAGCAAGAGAAAGGAAGGGGAGAGGACAGGACAGGGCAGGAAAGGGAGGAAAAGGGGGGAATGCTTGCTAGCAACAGAGAGCGAGAGGAAGGAGGGAGAGGGGTAGAAGCGACGACATGGTGATTGGTGCAGCCCTAAAGCATTTCGCGGGAGAGAAGGAAGGAAGAGGGCATGAGCATCGCCATGAGGAGGAGGAGGAGGGCAGCACCTGTGCCACCGGGCATTCACAGCTCTGCCGCATGGACACACATCATCCACCGATTAGGAGAAGGAAGGGAGGAAGGAAGGAAGGAAGTGGACGGGACAGGACAAGCACAGCGAAGGGAGGGACGCGAGAGAGGGGAAACGGAATGCAGCAGCTCTGCGAAGCAAAAGGGCAAACGCAGGCTTTGCAGCAAGCCAACTGCAACGGCAAAGCAAAGCAAGTCCCGGTCAGTGACCCCCCCCCCCCCCCTAATTCTCCGTTGCTCACGTCTTAGTAACCTCCACACCACATCCATCACTCTCCTCAATCACTATCTCTCAAATTCCTTCCTCCCACATGCATTCATTCGTTCGTTTGTTCGTTCGTTCGTACGTTCGTTCTTTTCGTTTATCATTCTCTTTTTCTTTCCTATCATCTCCTTTCTCTTTCAAAGCCTTTTACTTTTTTCCGACTTTGTTCATGCATTATGGACAATCCCTTTTTAAAATCAAACTAAAAATTGGCTTCTATTCTGTTCAAGCTCCTCATTTCAATAGTATGCTCTCTATCCAATACAAAATTATTAACAAAAAAATAAAAATAAAAACAAACAAACAAGCAAACAAGCTCTATTTTATAAACAAAATACAATACATGTTGATTTCAGAATCAATCTTTTTTATGTTAACTAATAAATTAATAAATAAAAATAGATTATTTTAGTATTTTATTAATTTAAAATTAAAATCAAGATCATATATTTTTCAGATTGCATTCAAAACAAAGTTCGTATTTATTTCATAATAAGCAAATAAATAAATAAACAATCTAACTTTTAGAAAATGCTAAAGCGATTGGAAGAAAAACATAGAGCAATAAATAGATAAGTCAAATCATGTAGGCTAGTCTTATTGAACATAAAATAACTTTATGGGAAGAAACAATATTTTTAATATAATTTGAATAATTCGAAACAGAATTATTTTATTCAACAAATAAAATAGATAGTGGATAGAAAAAAAACATTATTATAGATATATATATATATATATATATATGACTAGAATTTGTTGGCAAACTGAAATTCTAAACAACACCTTAATTATGCACACACTAAGTAAAAGAAAAATTGGATGAATTCTAAAGAAAAGCTCTCACTTAAAGCATTGAAGATGAATTCTATATTCTATATTATCATCTATAAGGAATAGTCTATAGGACCTTTTGTCCTTTGTTTATTACCTTAACACAATGAATAGGCAATAGTTGGAGGATTACTCCTCTTTGTAAATAGATATATTTTTGTTACAAGAATTTGATATGTGCCATAGAAGCTTGGGTTTCTTGTTAAAGAATTCTATTAGAGTTATTCTATCTTAGATTCAGTGCTAAGTGATTGCATTCTATTTTATCATTTGACTTTTCAATGGACTCTTCTCTTTGGTTGTCTATTCTTCTGTACTCTATGCTCATTAACCATAAGTTCCTAATTAAAAAAAATTATACCATATTTTTGGATAAACATCAATTTAAATTTTTTGACTCTCTCAATTCTTTAATCTATTGAGATAAAATTTTAGAAGTCGAATTAGACAAGTTGGAATGATTTAATAGTAAGATTCTCATGTGTCCACTGAATAGCACATATAAATTGGAATCTTGACTATCACCTCCAAATCCAATATAACATATTAACCTCCCTTACATTCATGTAAAAGTATAATAGTTTTCTTTTATTTTATTTATCTGCCAGGTTTTTTAGATTAATGTCATTACAGAAGATACTATCATTACTAGCAACTTCGAAAAACCACAACAGACATGTGTCCACAAACATTATCCATAACCATTCAAGATGTTAGAGGATTTTCCTGTAATGTAATGTTGGAAAGATAACTCTCGTCTCTAAAAAAAAAACTTGTCATCTGTGCACCTTTAGGTTGCAAAACCTTCCCTTGAAAAATGGTGGTCATTATGAAACCTTCATCCCATGAAGGCATTTGGGAAGAAACAAAGTGAGATTCAAGATAGTACCAAGACCATTCTCCGATTAGGAATTTGCACAACAATGAACATTCGATCCAGATGCGTAATTAAAATCGCCATAACAAAAATCAGTTTTTGATTCCACCAAAACGTCACAATACACCATAGTCAATATAGTTACATAGCACTCCATTAAACCTCTGATGCGCGATGCAATGAGATAGAAACAAAGACTTTACTCTAGACAGAAGGAAAACTAAACCTGCTAAGAATTTGAAGTCATTCACGACAAATGAATACCATTACCCATTTCAGTGTTTGTTCCGCAGCAGAGCACTCCAAATGGATTGTACTTGGACTCGCTCCAAATCTTGATACTCTTTCTCTTTGGTAAATAGGGCCTTTACCAAAGAGCAACCCGAAGAGGATCCGAGTGGAAGCTCTGCTGGCTAAACCAACATATTCTCACAAACTTGCACCATGTTACACAATCCTTGTACTTTGCCCAGATGATCTCTAACTAAACTTCTACTTTCTCTTATGTTTCCATCTGCTGCTCAACAACAACCCATCTAAATTTAACACATAATAATCACATGGTCAGGATATATCCGACTCTTGCATCAACTATCTACAACAAAAGTTAAGTGTTGACAAGTTACCTCGTCAAGGAACACATCGAGTGCAACACAGGGAATTACAATAGAATATACTTGAAAATACAGGATAAAGGTTAGATCCGTTCACAAATTAGTGTACATATAAACAGTGCAGTTAATTGGGATGCCGTTGATCCTCAGCCTGGGACATAATAATCCATCTTGTCAACAGGAAGATTCAAAACGGATGTGTCAACCTGCAAGACGTTAAGGCAAACAACAGTTCAGATTCAAAATCACTAAGTTCTTCCCCAATCCTTATGAATGACTAGATCTAAAAACGAAATCAAACTCAAATCAAATCAAAATCAAGCAATACCAGGAACGAACATTTCGCTCAAAATTTTCGACATCACAGTTCCCGTCTCATACATAAGAAGGGACCCATAAATTTAGCACGTAACCATTAGTAAGAGCATGAAATAGTTACCTCTTCAAATGGAACAAACACAAATGGTTGCATGCCACGCCGGTGAGAAACTGCTGGTATGTCTGGATTATGAGTCTCATTCTCTTGCCACCCGTCAACTATATTAATGACATCTTCGGTTTCATTCGGGACTAAATTCTCATCCACCCCACACGTCACCAGAGAAAGCAAATCTAAACGGTTGTAGGCTCCAGGAATTGTTCCGCGAAGCCTGTTGAGCAAATCATGAGCCACAGATTAATAGCAGACTCTTGATTTCTTTACCGATAAGCGCCCTAAATCCACCTACACTACAAAACCATATTCAATGTGGACTATACTAATTTTACATCGCGCTATAAGCTTTTGCTCTTGCTGTCTTTTCTAGCGTCTTAAGTCAGCACAATTTTATAAATTAGGTACATCATTTTTTTTCAAGTTCAGAAGAAAATAATGCTCTGAGTACTTGCAGCCGTAAGTAAAATCAATCATGAAGTTTAGCTTCGTCCACACTGATTAATGTTTCAGTTATAATTATGTCAAATACTGTGATCAACAACACTCACGGTTCCAGATAGACATAACGTATCAAGAGCTCCTTCAACGACTTACAACACAAGACAGAACATGTAAGGTAATCATAGAAAGGACAAACCTAAACAAATTATGTGGTCCAACTTTCTTCCAACAAAAAATGAAAAAACAAAGCACTGTTAAGAATGCGAAACGTAATAAGTTGCAATGTGCACTACTACAACACAACCAGCAGGAAGAATGCTACACGCAAAAAATTACAAGATAGTAATATAATTACACGCACATACCTGAGGCGAATTCTCAGAACTGTGGGTCGTGAGCCAGGGTATATGACGGCTGCCTCGACCTGGTCCCGCCACACAAGAACAAAACAACTCACAAGTTATTCACAAAATTTGATAAAGTCGGTCTAGGGTCCACATATAGTTTAGGTGCCTCACTATGCTACTACCAAATATTTTGAGTTGAAAAGTTATTTACTTGTGTGCCATCAAGCATACACCGCCCACTAAATAATCCGTCCAATTTCGCTGCTCTTCCTTGCATTGTCTTTGCTACTTCCTTCACGCGCAAAGGGGTTGTCTGCGTTCATGTAGCAACATCGAGCAATTGTAATGAAGCTCCCACATAGATAGTTCTACTTGCTAACACAAAATGATTCAAAGAGACTCACTATGTTCCCATGACTAAGGCCACAAATGCAAGCATCCAAATAGCAGTTGTCAACATTTTTGAACTAAAAACTGATTTTCAAATCAACACGTGAATGTGCAAATTCTCAACTCATTTAAGAGAAAATACAACATTCAGTATGTTTTCATATAACAGCACGCTCAACTTCCATTACTCAAGGATCCGTCTACGAATTACAGGTAAAAATAGGGACAACTTGTACCTTATACAAAAATTTCCCATTCGGAAAGAACCTTAAATACCGGTAATAACAAACCTGTTTCAAGGAACCATATGAAAAAATTAAAAATCAAAAAGATGTGATGAATAACACATCGACACTATATACTTTGATTACAGTGTCATCATTCTTGAAGACGTCAAAAAGAAGCAAGCACATTCACCACCTCTTACAGCTGGTGCATTATGGTGAATATAACTTAAGGTTTCGAAATAGCATACCCCACTAGTTCAAGTACGCAAGAGCAGAAACAGCACTCAAACCACAGCCTTGTGCAAGACACCGAGGATGGGAAACATAGACGATTTACGCACCAAATGAACTGGATTGGTAATCTTCCACTCAGCTATTCCAGTACGAATGTACGTATTCCTGCTTACATATAATCCTGCAACAAGAGTACAACTTCCTTACAGACACTCTTCCCAAGTGCAATTACAGTTGAATTAAAAAATGAATGGAACTAAATTATAAAGCAAAACGTTTTTACAGAAGGTCAACACCATTATACCATCAAAGCGTAAACGAGGACGATCGTGCCACATAGCACGCCATGAGCCTCCATATTTCTCCGCACACAAGCGCTCATTCTCTTGACGCCCTGAAACCTACGTTACACATGGAACTACCAGCATTGAGACTTCCAAAGTGTGACGTTATCCATCCTTGCAGGCACCTCTGATGTAACAACTACTAGACTAAAAGGCTGAAAGAATGAAAACTGCTGCAACGTGTCCCCTACACATTGAGAAACGTATGCTTAACCTTGATTCCAACTGCATCAAGCGAGAGTAAAATACTTTGCTGGTCGGCCGTTGAAAGCATAAGTTCAACAAAATAAATATATAGGTAATCTTACCCTCAATCCAATCGGCCGGATCCTTGTCTACTATTATTCACTAAGTTTACAAGAGTGAAACTAATCCTCTTGAGTAAGCAGGAGCAAAGCATACCTGCCAGGTCTTCAAACAGGCATTACGCCACAGACTTGGCATCCGAGTAGCATATCTCCACTTTCGACATACACAAGCTGCCCGGCCTAGCCAGTAAGGGGACAACCGCATGAACACCTGCTTCTCCAAAACCCATCAATGTCGCTACTACGGTATAAAAAAATAAAAAAAAATAAAAAAAATCCTTGTCCTTCCTCGCCTCAGAGGATACGTGAAGAGGAAAGGAATCTAAATACATGAGATTTTTCCCATGATTTAAAGAACTCTATGGAAACCCTAAGGTAGCCAATAATAAGAGTCCACAACAATCTTCTGCAGATGAATTAAATTGAACCTTTATAACAAGAAAGACGCTGATCTTCCTGCCGCGCAATCGAAATTGCCAACACCCAAAATCGCGGTAATTTTTTTTGACCGCATCCAAAGGAATCGTTCAAATAGCAGAGGGCATCCAATCAAAATAAGCTCTGGATGCTTGCGACATAGTCTCTAACTGGAATTCAAAAACATTCTGCACGGTACGTAGGCCAGAAGTCGCACCTCTTGAAGAAGTTCATCTGGGAGAGAACAATGCAGAAGAGAACTCTCCAATAAAGGCTTGCTGCTCGTACTACCAACTGGAGCCACAGGCCGCACCCTGATGCCGTACAAATCTGCCGCGCGAAGATATGAACACCCTCATCACGACAATATCTACAGTGTAGCAAGCACAATATTGTTTTCTTTTTCGAAATAGACCTGCTCTACATTCAAAGGCAACATAGGAAATCTTGCAAATCAACCCAATTGAAACGGCTTAGAGAGGAATTGAAGGTAATTAGGACTTACTGAGCCAAGGCCGTTTCGTTTCAAGAAACTGAAAATTGTCATAACCACGTTGGGCAGGCAACAGGGTAGCCATGAAGGTGTTCAGCTGCACAACGTGAATGGGTGAAAAAAGGTGACGGGAGAAAAGTGACGGGAACGCCGGGGGGGGGAGAAGATTATCACCGGCTTGGAAGTGCGGTGAAGCGAGGACAAGAAAGGAGGTTGAGGCGCGGGAATGGCGTGGAGGAGGAGATAGAATCGGCAGCGGTGACCACGAAACCCTAAACGAAGAAGAGAGAAACGGAACTTCGAGGTGCAAATCTAGAAACGTCACCAATTGGAGGGAGGGGAAGGTGAGGAGGGCAGAAAGCAGGAGAATGTGAGAGGGGGAGGGGGGAGGAGGAGCGCAGTGGCGGAGAAGAGCAGGGGGGGCAGTTGGGGTGAGTCGAAGGAGAAGAAACACTAGGAAGATGACTGGAATCCTTCAGAGGGATGAATCCCATGAATTGGGCGGCAGAGGACGGACTGCGGGAGCCCACAGCTCTGAAGAGCCGCCGCAATGGAAGAGCCCCGACGGGCAGAAGGAGGTAGCAGGCATCAGCAGCCCCGTGACGGTGACAGTGACGGTGTAGCTGCGGTGGTAGTGGTGGTGTTGATGCTGTGGTGGTGTTCCTCCCTGCTTCCTACTCCTCTTCCTCTTCCGTTCGGTTAACCCCCCTCCCCCGCCCTACCGCCGTGTCTGTCTGGTCCCTGCTTGATCTCTGCTTCGGTTTCCCTGGTGCGTGAGCGCGTGCGTGCGCGCCTCTGTGCGCCCCTTGGTCGCGCATGATCACTTACTCATCCATCCATGTCTTCATCCCAACTGCACTCCATCCTCACACCCACAATTTCTGCTTCGTCTTCTTCTTCTTCTTCTTTTATAATCTTTATTTACTACCTTGAAATTTTCATGTTGGTAAGTATTTTCAGCTTTTACAGGTCAATCTTCTATTAGTTCATTCGTTTTTAAAAATATCTGTGGCCGCATGTAAACGTAATCTCTAAGTATGGTGTACATGTATACAATCATGGTTCTACTACAACACCCATCATATATTTTTACTAAAATAATACATTCATTTTTCCAGTATACCAAATATGAATGTTTTAAATTTGCAATTTTCTGTATAACTCAAGATTTCTTATTGCCTACGACAAGCATGCAACTAGAAAAAGAAAGAAACCTCAAAAAATATTGAAAATTTGAATTTCTAAATTTTATATATTCATTTTTTAAAAGATTAAGATAATATATTCCTAAATCTTATAAATCTAAAACTTTATCTGAACTTTATTGATAAAATCATTTGATAAACATATGACATTAAAGATCTGAAATAGTAAGATCATATAGTATTAATATCAGTAATAAAATAAAATATCAATATTTTTTTCTATTGTAAAATATGTTTTTGGTGTTTTTGACTTTAAAAATAATACACATATCATATAGTTTATTAGTAACATAAAAGATTATTGATAATAGTATAAATAGAATTATCATTATTGGATCAATTATGAATTTATAAACAAAATATTCAGAAACAAATCTTTGTAATGCATAGTTTATCAATTGTATTCAGTTCATATAATTAATCTATTTTTAACCATTTTATAAATATACAAGTGGTTATAAACATACATAGAGGTTTATTTTTGAAAAGTGATGCTTGTGATGATGAAGGAAAAAAAAAGAAATAAAAAGAAAAAAACAAACAACAACAACAACAACAACAACGAATAGTTTTGAGTTTCATCTAAAAGTTTTTTTTTTTTTTTAATTTATTTTGGAAATATTGTAACTTACATCTTACTTATTTTAATGTAGACTATTCTTTAATGAAGTAATATATATAGGGAAATATTAAATAGATCCAAGTTTTTACTAAATCAATCCATCCAAACCATAATGAAAAAAAAAAAAAAAACAAATGTTATTTAGATTTATTTCTCTACTATTGTATCTGCAATAAATGAAAACCAACCACATTCATTATAATTACCATATTCTTCATCAAGGATGGGTCTATTTAGTAAATGCATGGATTTATTTAACATTTCCCTATATATATATATATATATATATATGTCTCAAAATGGCATAGATTTATTTTTATATTACATAGTAGTCTAAATTAGGATTATGAAAGAGATGTTTCATTAAATTGCACATTAAAATTAATTATTTACAATTTCAAATATGAAAAAGATAATTTATATTAATTTTATAAATACATCTAAAAATAAGTCATAGGTGATGCTATTAAAAGTTTTAACTTACTAAGTAAGTAAGGCATTGTTAGATAAATTGCTGTATGTATAAACATTATAAAATTTATAATAGATTCAGTTAAATCACCAAACTAAATAAAATTGGGGTGGTTATAAGCATCGTTTTACAGTACTATTTGCATACATTGTAGCCGTACAACCCCTTTCTTCAAACTCAAAATTTTCAACTAATTTCTATTATATCTATGAAACATAGGCTAACATTCTAGATGGAAAGGTCACTTTTTCTTTGAATCAAATTATCAGATATAACTTTGAATTAAGATCTTCATGATAAGATGAAACTTATACTACTGTCATGGCATTGTTTTCATTGCAATACAAAGAATTAATATGCTTTCCATGTTTAAAAAATTAAAGTCAATATTTAGATCCAAAATTGATCATCATTCTATTTTCAATTTTAGTTACAAAAAGAATAATAATGAAGTGTTTGAGAAGTATCATATCAAAAAGTTTACCAGGTACATAACAAGCTCGTCCTATAACTGTTTAATAAAAATACAAGTCGGTCATATTGAAGAGTATCCAAACTTTAATGAAGAATGCACAACTAGAGTCCCATACCCCTCAAGTAAAGAATGTTACATGAAAGGTTTTAGTGTCCAACTTGTCAATTCATTTTCTTCCAAACCAACACTCTCCTGTGGCTTCACCCTCATGTCATTGTAAAAAAGTTCATTCGCTATCACCGACGATGATTAGTCCTAATCAAGCTACAATCAGAAACTCGTTTCACTAAGTTTCAAGAAACTCCAATGTGCAATCATAGTAGAAGGGTTAACCAATACATATTGAACCTATTCTTCTTCCAATGCTATTTTGTGAACACGAACACAAGTAGTGCTACAATACTGGTACGAATACCTGGTGAAGGGTACCTTTCCTGCCAAAGATGCTTGACAGCATGAGCATAAGTTAGGGGCATTCAAAGAGGTTGAACTAGAGTTTATAGAAGTTGAACTTGCAGGCTTTTGGTTTGCACCAGCCACTGCTCGTAATCTGAACTCAGCAGCTGCCGCTCGTATCTCTCTCTCTTGCGCTTGTGCCTTCAGCAATGCCTGGTATCAAAAAATGGCGGTCAATGTAGCCTAACAAATCCTCCGACTCAATGACTCCAAAGCAACTGCCGTACGCAAAGTGGAATACATACCTCTTGATATTCTTTTGACTTAGGATCTAATAATTTGGAGGTCTTGAGCATTTCTTTCGCTCGGTCCTTGTCATAACGAACACTGGCTGCTGCCGCCTTGGCCTCCGCTTCCGCCTTCGCCTCCACCTGTGTACACTCACAAAAATAAGGAAAGTCCCTTAATTCTAAGCCTTAGTACAGTGCAGTCAGTGCATTACAATGCAAGTAACAGAAAAGGATATAGACATTGTGATTTTCATCCACTACCGCACAACACCAAACATTCACAAATAGCTACTCTAAATCCAAAAGATCCAATCCATCAGCAAAAGACTGATTCTGGACCAATGTTCAGCATTTGCATAGGTAAATTTTTACATCGCTAGATGCTTTCCCAACCAAATAGTCAAAGGATGCCCCTGCTGATATATTCATCCAGAGTATGCTGAAGAAAGAACTGAGGTCAGATGCAGGAGTCAAAGCAATATAATTGAATAAGTGTTTATTTAAAAACCTGTTTGGCTTTTTCTTCAGCCTTTTTAAGCTTCTTCCGCTCCTTTTCTTTTGCTTTCCTTTTGGCATCCTTCTCTGCCTGGGTTAGGTTTTTGACGGATCAGCTTACACCCATTCAACTAACTTAGTAAAAGAAAACAGAACTCTGAAATTTCTAGTATGAAGCTAGTTGTAAAAAGTACAAAAGTAATAAGCAAGCAATCATGTCAACATTATAATTCTAGACCAGGTGATATCAGGTATGATGTCTTGAAGTTCACGTCTCAACCGCTGAGCATCTACCTGCTTCGCAATTTGTGCTGCTTCAAGTTCATCTGTCAATGGGCTGGGTACACTAGCTCCGTGCCAATCCCACTTGTCAAGATGCTGGGCCATGAATCGACGAAAAACATTGCGGGTCTCTTTGTCCTTTGCGAGAATATAAGGGGTTTTCCCCATCTTATCTTTTAAGCAAGGATCTGCACCCTCCACTAATAAGTTCAAGACCTTCACAGTATCCCCTGCCTTGGCTGCTAAATGTAAGGGAGTTAACCCTAGATTATCTTCCGAACTTAATTTACTGCCTTCTACTTGTTCAGCTGACACCTGGTTATCAACTTGAGGGGGCTTCAACTTCGTCCTGTCGGAAGTCTTTCCTGTTTGCGCTGGCACGTTACTAGAGTCTTTCCCGACAAGCGTTGTCACTCTACCGGATCTTCCAACGGTGACTGGTATGTCTGCGGTCGCATGAATTGCTTCTAAGTCTAATCTTTGAAGCCAGCTAAGGAGGTGACTAATTCGCTTAGCTTCTTTCATAGTAGGTCTACGTGTGGTGAATGGTATCCTTCGTATCCTTCGATCATTACGATTCAATGACGCGTTTTCCCCTCCAAATAAGGTTTGTGCGTTGCTCGAAGGGGCATACACAAAAATATGAGATGCAGCTTGCATGTGCTCACTCCAAGAGGTGAGAAGATCTCTAATGTCCTGGGAGGTCGGGCCAATGCGACGTAGACTACAACTGCATTAATCAGATTATCATGAAAATGCTGCTTAAAAATGAAAACAGAAATCCAAAATAAAGGCAGGCTACGCGGCGTCAAAAGATGTTGTCCTTAAATCTAAAGGATCTCTGGAAATCAACGGGGCATAAAGTCGAAACTCCAGTACTAAGCTCTATTGAAGAGGTGGGATGGAAACTGACTTTTTGAAGAGCTTGCTCATTGTAGCGACGAAGCGAGGCCCCCGCAGACTGAGGAGCTCTGCCCGTAGCATCTCGTGCTGATTGCCGACCACCTGCTTTGGCCCTCACCACATACCTGCATTAGCCAAACTGTGAACCTTCAAAGATTATAAAAACCTCTTCTGTTCACAACGGTGAAACAACAAAATTTGTAGGGACATCCGTGTGCGCTGCCAGTACTGATTCAAAACTATCTGATATACACAAACCAAATTCTAGTTAAGTGGACTGCGTAAAAACCTCCCCGCCTTTCCAAGGAATTCCCAACAAAATTTACTTCAGTAGCATGCGAACGAAGTACAATTTTGTCCACAGAACTCACACTTCACAGCGCCTATATTCGATTCAAGAGTTGAGACCATGTGAAATTCGTACCTATGGAAAGTTTGATGAGCAAGAATAGAACCGTCTTGACTATTTATCACCAAGCCAGCAAAATGACCGCCAGCAGCCAGCAAAATAACCCACACAGACTTTTTCTCTCGACTGGTCAAGGACTTCAGGCGTCGCAAAACTTCGTCCTCCTTTAAACACAAACTAGCAGCAGTGGTCTCATCTGTCGAATAGCCTTTTTCTCCCGGCAGAATCTCCTTATCTGCTGCAATTAGACACCTCCAGAGAATAATAATATCTCCTGAGTTATTCAACTTGACGTGCAGCTGGTTGCTTCGTGATACTAGAGATGATGAGATTCTACTGTCATCCGCCTCTGTCTCGGAATCCGATCCCGAAATGCTAGAGACGTCGCCATCATTACCCTGGGTCACTTCCTCGAATTCATTCTCGTTCAGAGTTTCTTTACCAGCAATTTTTCGCTTCACCTGCAGGAAAGATGCGCGCAGAATTCATGAACACTTGGACTTGACCTGGAATGTTTCTTCCCGAATAGCCAGCCAGATGTCACAGCGATTTTCGACATCAATATTGCAACCACGAATGCCACACCAGAAATTCACAATTGCCTTGAGTTTCGAGCACTACATGTGAATTTCGTATTCTACAGCACCCAGAGGCTCTACCCTGTTGCATAATCGCAAAAAAAAAAAAAAAAAACACAAAACACAAAACACAAAAAACACAAACAACTAAACAAACAAACAAAACGAAGAAGCAAGTTCCAGAACAGATGCGGGAAGTTAGTATGAAGTGAAGGAGAACAATTTAGGACAGGGAACATAATTTACGTTGAATTTATGGAAATCTGATTTGAAGTGAGCGCGCTGTTCTTCCAAAGATTGAAAGACAGCACGACAGCCATGACAGGCCCAGCTTTGTAACAAAGATTCACTAGCGGCAGGTGCTTGGTCCAGGGATGATGAAACGTCGATGCCATCGCGGAGCTGTAAGCGTTGAAACCCTAAACCTAGGAGAGGAGAGGGGGGAAGAGGCTGGGCCAGGGCGTCATGGCGGTGAGTGAAGAGGAGAGCAGAGTCGAAGAAGCCATGGGGTGCTGTGAAGAGTGATGGGAGGTCGAGCTGGGCCATCGACAAGGAGGAGCTCGACAGACGCAGAGCAGCAGCAGCGGTTGTAGTGGTAATAGTAGGAGCAGGAGGAGAGAGGAAGGGAGGGAGAGAGGGAAAGCGAGAGATCGGGAAAAGAGGGGGGGGGGTTAGATGGAGCATCAGCCTGCGAACCTGGGTGCCTGAAAACCCCCGCTCCACCCCTGCGGCTGCTGCTTCCAACTTTATTACCAACTTAGAAACTACTTGGAAATAGAATTTTTTTTCAGCGAGATAAGAGGAGGGTTGAGTATAATTTATGAATGATGTTAATTAAGGGCATGAAAAATGAGTCTAAAAGATATTGGAACCACTTAAAACTGCCCTTCTTCCTTGTCTATTCTTAGTTTTAGTGGCTCAAATCCCTGTCCAAACAAATAAATAAATTTAGGTTATTATATGATGTTTTTTTGGTAAACCAGTTTATTTCCAAAGGGTTCACTTGTCAAATTTATATTCAATTTGTTTTAGTGTATAAAATATATAATTAGTGTCTAAAAGTTTCTCCTTTCAAATTGATTTTGAATCAAATGAAATTTTAATATTTCTTAAACCAACCAATATTTATTTGTTGTTGGTTGTTCCTAAGAAATTAAATTATTGTACCATTACAATTGTTTTAAATTCAAGTTTCCACCTAGGAAAATAAGACCGTGATTCTTTTTGTACCAAGTTCGTATAAGACTTAAGAGCCACCAAACATCAAGTGAATGACTTCGAGCTGGTTATTGCCTTCCTAACCCGTATTATTCGAAAACCTTAGTTTGAGTATAGGTCACACTAGGTGATGTGAAGCTCTTCAATGTGACAATCAAAGGTTGAAGATATGCTCGACTCAAATTGGAGATGATCGAGGCACAAATACAAATCAGTTGCAGTGGTGAGAGGATCAGTTAGAAAATCGTAATCAAGTTAGAGGATCCAACCCCAAACCCCCGAAAGAGAGAACTCTCCAAATCGAAGACTTTTTTTCAAGTACACATCAATTCAAAGCTCAGAAGTTGGGACGCATTATGAGACAGAATGAACCATGCAGTTAAGTTGCAGTCACTTTTAAAAATGTGTATCACCACAGAACTTGGCAAAAAGATGTGATCTCTTACAGCTGCAGTTGAGAATCTGTAAATATTAAGTGCAACAATGAACGGCGTCCTCTGATGCAATAGCAAGATGATCACGACACGCTTTTGGCCTGTTTTATTCGCAAATCGGGGAATGCTCAAATAAGCGATGACAATGTACAAGGCCCCGCTCAGAGATCGCCACATCAGATGTTTATCTGTGGAAAGCCAGGGTGCTGGATATGATGGGACGAAGTATAATTTTCTAATACGTGATTGTTGGCACTCAATCACGTCGAATACTAGCCATTGAGATTTCCTTAACAAACAGAAATGGACCGCAGGGTTCTAAATTTCCAATCCCTTGGTCATGCTAGAAATGAAGGCGAATTGCAAACAGGAATCTAAGTTTTGTACAACATACTTCAAAACCTTCACGTTACACCTAATTTCCTCGTCATCTATGTTCGCAGCTGTTGGATGTTACGAAATATACAGTACTCTGGTTGCAACAAGTTGACCTGCAACCATTTCTATCACTGGCGATGTTCTCTTGTATCGCATCCAATAAAAGTGACGGAAGCTTTAAAGTGGCTCCAGCAAAACGTTCGAACGCATCCATTAAATGAGTCAGCTCTCTTGGACTTCTCAACCCATCCAGGAGCCAGTGTTGGTTGATTCAAAAGAGCAGGTGCCCGTCACGGTCTAGTAATCCCACAGGCCCATGCCCTGTACAAACAAAGCTGAGGCAGCAACAACGAGGCCAGCGAATATCGGAGGCACCGCAAAATCCATTCTTGTTTTCCGGAAGAGATTTGCCGGGACACAAAGGAGGTCACTAGGACCGTCAAGTGGTAGTCGGGAGCATTGCTGACAGGCTAAGGTTGCTTTATTGATATCCTTTGAACATTGTTGTACGACTTCCATGGATGGAGAAAGGCTGGCGCTGAATCCCATTTCTAAGCTTAGTGCTGTGATCGTTACGATGGCCGCAAGCAACAGAGTCCAACATAAAGTGTACAGAACAACGGGCTGGGTCGAAATAGTTTCACAGTAGGACAGTGCCACCTGGTTCGTTAAGCACTCAACACATACAGGCACGCGCACGCAAAATATCAGCATCATAATGACTCTTACTCGAACAAACCTATTCAGGGGCAGTCCAAGGACGTTACTGGCTCATCACATAGAGATTACGCTTGTGAAAAAGATTCTGCATCAGGGCAGAAGAGAGTTGGAAATAAATCTCAGCAGGAGGATGATCTGTAACACTTGCCATAAACGTTCAACATCACTTAGAGCAGAATTCTTAATCAACTCTATTGTTGGCAGTCATTAGCATTCAAAATAATCGGAGCTTTGAAACATACACATAGTCATGGGAAAAATACCTGAAATTGCCGTTGAAGGGCGCGAAAAGGAACGAGGATATGCTGCACGTCGCAGCCTACTCGCCCAATTCTTCGCATGTACGATAAAGTCGTGGAGGACCTTCTGGGACCTGGCAAGAACATCGTTCGCCGCGTTTGAGACATGTGTGCAGTTTGTGGTCCGTAATCGTGAGCACTCCCTCTGATACGAAACACCCACGTTTCAGGTCAGGACAAAGACTCTAAGCAAAGGTTTTGTTTATAGAAAGCATTTCATTACTCGGACTGAAGGAGCTACTCGATGTAAGACTCAAATAAAGTCTCGCTTGGACAGAATAACTCGAGAAGTCCAGTCACGCATTTTTATAGGGCACTGGGAAAAAACGGATGGAGACTTGTTTCTTGAATCCTATCCTTCTTTCTCTAAATGTTCTAGCAATAGAGTTTTACCACACCTAAAACTCGAAGCTAAAGGTTGCCAGCTGAGTAGCAGCCATGACTATGGCTGACATATCACAGCAGAAGGTCAAGCTTGTAACATTCCTTACCACAGTCATGAAAGCCCGGAAGAGCACTAGTGTGGATGGTGGAAAAGTGAAAATTTATAAATAAATTGCTTATTAATGTAGTCCAATCCACAATACTAAATTTGATGCGAGAATTCAATAATCCCGCGACGGACACAAGGTGAAAGTAGACGGAAATCAACTTCTGTGCCTACATTCATGGTTCTGAACTTTACCAAATTGAAGTTCTCGGAGTAAAATCAGGATTCATCAAGAGGGCTGGAGCCGTTCGTCGTCGCACACTATTTCAATGACAGTTTGAAGCATCTGGATTGTGCAGTTTGCATGTCTGTGTCACTACGGAATCGCCTTAGCTACTGTAAGAGATTCATAACTTGCAAATTCATACAGCAAAGCAAGGAAGACACTCAAATGGTGAAACGTGCAATACTTGGCGAAAGCCAAGACAGGGAGAAGGGCCAACCACCATAAACGGGAGGATGAAATACGAACAGGCGTAAGTGAAATGGTCGCCGTGCACATGTATATCGCACTGTATAGTGTATATCCCGCATGTGTATCTCAGGAAATTGTTGGGTGGGCGATTCAAACCAAAATAAATAAATAAATAAATAAATAAATAAATCAAATCAAATCAAATCAAATTACCCAATCGAATAACAAAAGAGCATGAACTCTGTAGGCAATTATGGTAGAAGATGACCCAAACACACGATGGAGTGAACATATGCCGACAGATGAGTCAAGGTCACCCAATGTACCCAACAAATTGGAGAAAGGATGCGGGAGCTGATGCAGAGGGAAGGCAGAAAAACAAGGGTGGGGTTCTAATACACCTCAAGAAGAGAAGAAGGCGAAGCAGGCGGGGGGTGTTGCAGGGCAGGAGTGGAGCAAGTCACGGAGAAGAAACACGGAGCAGAAAAATGTAAGAGAATTCAAGAATTGATGTTGCTCAGAAAAGCTACAGGTACGCAAGCAAGATGGATAAGAACAAGTGAGAGAGGTAGAAGGATAGCGTCGAAGGAAGATTGAGCGCTTCGAGATAGAGCCACGCAACACCACTTCAAGAGATTATGACGACGGAAAGATGATGGAACAATAACTTCTCAACAGACAAAGACCAATATCGAGACCAGGACCCAGACCTACGACGGAGACTAAGATCATGGACACAATAGAAGTCAGACTGATCGACAGTATTATTAATGTTGGATGGATGGATAGATGAACGACTGCATTGGGGAGCTGCGTTGTCGTGCAGTGGGGGCAGGCGGGTTGACTTGGCAACAGAAGGCACCAGTGCCAGCCTGCAAGGCCCCCCAATGCAGCTCTAGTTCAGGGGTGCCCTGGCCATCCTTTACTCCGGAAGCATCTCAGCACATCTCTACCTCGCTCCCCCAACAGTCTCATCTTGCTTCATTATTTGCTGTGGTATGATTGCTCTAGGCCCCTACTCCAGAAGGGTTTGCTTACATGGAGCAATCTCCCTCATTGTCTCAATTGCTCTATTAATCGCATTGTGTAGGTGCCAGAAACAAACTTCCTTCCAACTTGCCACAAGCTGTCTCGATGAGCCACATAGCCTAGCTGTCCATTATTCATGGTTGTCAGCTTTTTCTCTTGTCAGACCAACTCATTACTTGTTGTGTTGCTTTTGTTGCTGCCAACCCCAACCATCTCCTTTCACTGTCCCGTTTTAGACTCCATCCTAGCATTCATACTTATGTTAATCCCAATGTTGACACTGTAGTTCCCGGCTTGCTTTGGCCCACATCACACAATGATAAGAATTTATTTCCACAATGACACTTTGTCTTGCCCTCATACTTTGACAGCAAACGAAAGACGTCTCTATTTTGTTCTTCCGATCTTGGTCTAGATATGTAGCTCCACAATGACCCACTGTGTCTCACGATGACGCCCCATGTCGACATTAGTGAAATTTCGCAAACCTGTGCAGAACCACCTCAAGGCTAACAGCAACCCAGTATAAGACTGATTTGCGGCCTTCAGATTGGTTAGCCATTCCGGACAAGGCCAGAAGCATCGCAGTAATGTTGAACCAATGGAAATCCAACATGGGATCGGCAGACGTCCGCCAAGTGGCTAAGGAGCCTAACAAGGCGGAAACATGCATGTGATGATTCTTAGTATTTTGTCCATCATCTGCGTGGACTTGTTGATTAAACATGCTGAGAAACCACGTGCACACCTTACATTCTTGCAGCGACGCCGTCCTCTACGCTATCCTAATTTTTGAAAGCTATGCTCGTTGAGCATACTCATACAAAATCTACACTACTGTTCCGGTAATCTATCATCGAGCTCCTCAAATTTAAGCATGGTGCCTCATTGAGCTGCTTCATTGATTCAAAGCTAAGAGAAAAATAAAATAAAATGATTTCACAAATATTAGTACTTGATCGTGAAAGGGAACAACATTGAGTAATTTTGAGGCATTGAAGGCGTATTACACTGCTATCACACTGTAAAAATTAAGTTTAGGAAATCATTGTGTAGAAGCTTGATCATGAATTCTCGCAGCATCTGCTCGGAGATAAATAGGGGTGTACGCCGCGACTACAGTCGTTGTAGATGGCTGCACTGTGACTTCCTCAGTGGCCATAAACAGCGACACACGTTCTATCAATGGTCGCCATGTTCTCTTGCAGTACACATGGAATACAAGTGTAAGTAATGGTAAAATTAACAAGATTGGTGTAAACAAGAACTCCTTCACCGCAAAATAAGCCACTGCGGTGATTTGTGCAGCTAATAATGCAGCCAAGATGCGATGGTGGATGTGCGGCCACAAGCTCCCGTTACTCTCCCAGTCGGGAACGTGAATGTTCAACGCCTGCAAACGCAATAACATCACCTGCTCAGAATTGGAAGCAGACTCGGTTGTAATTTCTCCATCAAACACCAGCAAAGTTGATTCATACGTGGTTATCAGGTAATGAGGTTTTGCATAAGAACATGAAGGATGGGTCACAGTGCCAGACCTGATTCCGCTGTACCAGCCATCCCAGCAAGAAGTAGAGGAAGGCAAATATGAGGATCATCGGCGCAATGACAGCATAACAAAGGGCCAATGTCAATATGAGAAGGTCATTGGGAATGCTCTGATGATATGTGAAGGCTCCTGGAGCCCATGACTCGAATTTCTCCCACTCTGCTTGACACTTGAATTTACGTTTCACATGGTAACTGGTCAGGGAGACGAGGCGTGACAACTCGAACCCATACCCAATGCAAAACCTGCCCCACATGCAACGCCTCATCAATTTAAAAACTACCAAGCCAACTCTGCATCCCTACAGTGCTGTCCGACTTCCAAATAGATAGTATTGAGTGCACAAAGCTTCTAGCGGTCACGTACTTTAGAACGATATATGTGATATAATACATGGCAACTGGGGGCAATTGAGACCCTAGCAGCCGTATCAGACGAGCCACTAAGAACTGGTCTTGATCCACCATATGCTTGATGCTGCTCAGGTTTGCAAAAATAGTCCCAAAGATGGTCACTCCAAAGTAAACGTTGAAAATAATAATATAGAAATATTTGGCTGAGGCGGACCGTACAATCCGAGACTGAGCTGAAAAGCCCTCAGCCTTGGACAAAATGAACATCAATTTGGGTGGCAACGCGAGAAAGATTAAAAGGCAAATTTGGGGCAATAGGCCTGCATTACCCAAGAGTTTACGTTAGTTCGATGCTAGGGCCAGGGTAATTAGCAGAAAAAGAAAAATCTAGTCCCTCAAGCGCTACTCTTAAGAATGTCTATCACCTTGTCTTCCCGTCGAAGTGCCGGATCTCGCATCCAACGTGTCACCGTTGATTAGGGAGGGGCTCGGTGCATTCGCATCATCATCCGACTGCAAGAGGATAATCAACGTCTATTAAGAGCCCAAACATACCAACCAAAATTAAGCCTTAAAATGATCCTAACTACTACATAGGGAACAAAAACATGATATGGAGTGCAGAAGACCTGCAGGATGTCATGGATAGCCTTGTGCTTGGTGATGGATTTGAGAAACGGCAAGATATCCTCCAGATTCCGCAGGGACAAGAGACTGGCAACTAAGAGGATAGGAATGGCATACGCCACCACTATTAAGAAGGTTGGGACGTAGACGACGATCTTCCGAAGCCAGTGCTCCCATGCTGATATGTGCAGATTTCTCCAGACCAACTCATTAGGTTCCGGGGCGGGCGTCACTCTCCAATACGGCGCATGAGGTGCATGCACAACCTGCCACAACCGTCAAATTAAAGCTACCTACACATTCCCAATCACAGGTTCTCTCATGCTGTAACAAAATTAATTGTGATATGTACCACTCCAAATTTCATCCTGTTTTCACCTGACCGGCTTGAGCAGCAGATCGCCGATTGTTGAAGATGACCAAAGCTGTATTGGATTCTTCCGTCTCTAACAAGCGCTTCTGCTCCTCCTCAAACTGGCTTGTCAATTCTCTGATTCTTGACTTCAAATAGTGAATATTGTCGACCACTGGGCCCACACAGCCCAAGAAGCCCGTCTTGTGCATCGGCCGAACTCTTTTAAAGTTTCCTTTTTCCTTTGACAGCTCAAACAAGGCTTCGGTATGCTCTAGTTCTCGCAACGTTTTCTCAAGCTCTTTGTACAGCTTCTCCACCTGCACATGCGCGAGTCTATCATGAAGTGCTTGACATGTAATTAGACGAGCCAGAGTAATGAATAAGAACGCGCCGTAAGCATCACATGCAATCTAATTAACACCAACCTCACCTTTCGGAGGTCGTTGACAACAATGCACCTGTCATAGGCTCCAGGATGAACCATTCTGAAGAAGGAGTCTACTTGATCTGATTGGGTCTCATGCACTGTTGGCTTGGGAAGATCCTTTACGAGCACAGTAAACTCGTGCGGACGAGCAATGGCAGACTTTTGTTGTCTAATACGTAAAAGTACAATCCGTCGATAAGATCTCCACAACACGAAGTAGGTCACCAGCGAAACCCAGAACATCCCAATCAGAAACCCCCACAATTTTGTACTGCCAGGCTGCTCCATACCCCAAAGTCGCACATCAGAATAAATTGCACAAAAAGACAAGTCACCAGCATCTATCACAGATAGCGGAGCCCATCAAAAAATCACGCTGCTATAGAAGCAGACTAGGAAAAGCAGCTGTTCAAACAATTTAGCATAGTTTCCACTGTCTCAGCTACTTCTTGTGCGCAGTTCAGATGTATACCTCGACGTTTCCCATGCTCAAGTTGTCGAACCCACTGAATGAAGCTCTTGGGTTCATTTTCTCCTCCATGGCATTGTAACCACTGGTCGCGGATAGGGAAACCAAAACGGGAACGCAGAAAATGGCGGATAACAGTATAATCTCCAAAGCTACACGTAAACCAACAGCACATTGGACGCATTAGGGAGTTGCATATTGTTCTCTTTCGCTCAAATGTAGTATTGCCAGTTCAGCATGATATTCAAATTATTCCTCTTCGTTGTGCTACAGTCGAACCCAAATCACTCCAGCATCAACATCTTTAAAGGAGGTTAAGCAAGCTTGTACTAGGTAACTAACACATTGCTCCAAAATAATTCTGATACTGCACATTGCTATGATCTTCTACCACGGAAAAATTGGCACAGAAACTGTCGATCATAGGATACTACCTACGACCATAGTATGGTTGAAGTGACATTACAACAAAAAAGTAAATGCTGTTTTTCAGATGAGGATGCTGCCGGGCGAAGGGTTTACCAAGCACTTACCAGCGGTGAACAGATGAAGGTACACTGTGGCATCCAATCCTGCTGCAGCTACCAGCTCGTCCTCCGTTGCACTCCAGGCTTCAGTCGCCCATGTAAAAGGGCCCCTGCTTTTCAGTATAGTACATGGGTCCTCATTCAGCAATACACGACGAGGATAGTAGATCAAAACATTCCCTGGCTGACGGGAGGAAATAATATACACTCCCAGGAGGAGCACAAAACAGCACGACGAGAACACCAATGATATGACGAATGAGGACGTCGCCACCATGCTGCTCCTGCTTGTCTTCTCCCCACACTGCCAAGTCCAGCTCCGACGAAACAACCCTCATACCACAAGCGTTATCCCCTCCAAGCTACATACACATTCTCCCCGTTTCGTCAATATGGTTACCATTACTAAATCTTCCTCAATGTTACTCAATCAACTTCTTTTGCCGTCTTCTGTGGATAAGATATTTGGCAGGAAGCACAGAATCAAATTACTTCGATGATGCACTGTTCTTAAAGCCTTGTTTGTTCCACATAATTAACCGCAAAGGATGACCTCCTGGCCATCACCTGGGAGCAAACCTGCCACCTTGATAGTAAGCTACCCTGGTCTCAAAGAAGTCACAAGCCTGGTCGACATGGGAACTCTGACGCGATCCGCCAGCACTCTCTCAGATCGTTTCGATACTGCCAGTTCCCTCCTGGATTGTTTGAAACTGCCCCACAATTTCGCACGTACTGAAACTATAGTACTACGCCGAACGTCGTCCTCAAGTGCACTAATAAATTCTCTAAGCGATGTAAACTCGATTAACATCTGTTTTGTGAAAAAATCACTAATGCTTAGAGCCAGCGCTATTCGCAATCGCGCGAACTTCTCAGTGATTGAAATACCACGACACTGAGATAGACTATGGTCAATGTCGCCGAGTATCCAAGCGGGCAACTCAGATCATGGAATAGGATTAAGTTTTGATATTTGAAAGGATTTCCAACCTCGAGACAATAAGACTGGCTGCTCGCGGACGACCAGGGAGCCGCAACAAATGCTGATTCATTCAAAAAAGCCTACTCCAATCTGATCAAAATTACTCTAAAAGCTTGACATCGACGAGGAGGGTGAGAGCAATGTGACTAACTCGAAAATGTGACAATCAAAGACCTGTTGTGCAAGCCCAAGTAGAGATACGATCGAAGTGATGCGGAAATGGAGGAGGATACAAAAGATGATGCGGAAAGCAGGCAGCGAGGGGAGGCGAAGCAAGCAAATAAGTCGAGAGAGGCGGCGACGATTCGACATAATCCACTCCCACAGATGGGATTCATTCTTTGGTCTAAAATTGGGTTCGTAATGCAGATGAGAAACAGCCGCGAGCACGCTGGACTCATCGCGGTGACAGATGTCGCCTAGTGGTGATGCCGGTGCCAGGCCAGCACACCCCAGCTAAGACTGGATTGGCCGTGCACCCGCGAGCGAGACGACAGGCGTATTGCAAAAAGGGGGTAGAGGTGAATGTCTTCCCAGATTCCATGATGAATCCGGAGGGGTCACGCAGGGAGAGCACAGAGTAAGTTAAGCCCCTCCCTCCCTCCCTCCCTCCCTTTGCAAGCAGGCGTCCGTTGGGAGAGCGTTGGATGGATCCTTAGCCCTGCTGCTGCTCCTCTGCTTCACTCACCCTGGTGGGACCCTGCACCGTCAACCACGCTACTCGCTACCATGTACGTTCGCAACAAGTAAGATACGACAAGCCGGTGGAGACGTGGCAGGCAGGGCTTCCAATCAGCCCCTAGAAGAGGATTTCCTGGTTGGCAGAGCCAACAGGTGGCAACCAATGAGTGGAGGCCCATTCAACATGCAAGAGGAGGAGAGCAAGGCGAAGTCGTGGACGTGACGGTGGCAAACATTTGCTTCGGGAACGGGGTAGCGCCATATGCTAACCGCCCGTAGTCGTCACGCCACTGCAGACACAGACACACACACACAGTGAGAGAGAGAGAGAGCGGAGTGGCAGAGAAAGAGCGAGCGGGGGAGAGTGAGAAACGGGGGAGCCTGTCCTGTACTGTCCCGTCCCGTCCAGGCATGGCATTGAATTGAAGGTGAGAGTTTCGGTTGCCCTGAGCCTCCCTTCGAGCACCATCAAACACACACACACACACGGCACCCGGAATCCTTATTGAGACCTCCCCCCTACCTACATCCCTCCCTCGCTCACACCCATTTCCTCTTTCTATCCATTGATTATGCCACAACTCAACCTTTGCATGCATCCTACTTAACAAATCGAACCTACTTGCTTCTTGCTCGATTGAACTCTGAGATCCCACATTCTTTACTACAATTCAATGCCAAACCAAATGATGTGTCATGCAAAACAACCAATACAAAAATTCTCTAATGGCGATACATATAGGATCGACATTTAGTTTTTTTTTAAATTAATCTCAATTTTATTAGAAAAAATAAATATTTTTCAAATGTTGTAAAAAACATTTTATACAACATAAAGAAATTAAATGAAAAATTTTGTTTAAAACCTAACAACCTTTCATAGTTTCTTTGCTTTGAAGAAAAAATTGAAGATGAGACTACAATATGCTAATTATTCTTAAAATAATATTTTATAGTTAATATAAAAGGAGAAAAAAACATATTCTAATTTTTTACATTAAAATAAAGTATGAAGAAGAATATTGCTAAGATTAAAGCTTAGTAATGCAAATACAAGATAAATTCACCACCTAATTAAAGAAGATAAAAAATATCTAACCATATGAAGTGAGCCTTGGATTTAGACACTTATAGCACAAGTCTATAGTCTAATGATAAAGATTACAATAAATTTGTCTACATAAAATATAATGATATCCTTACATTTATCTAATTGTGCTAGATCTTTGAGTGGCTTAGTAGGTTTCTTAAACTTGTTATAAACCTTCTATAAATCCTTGTCAAAAGCATGAACCTAATCTATTCTTTCCAGAGATGCCAACTGGTTTCATCAAATTTATGTATAATGCAATATTTCATAGCCATTTTTTAAAAAATAAAATAAATTAAAATTTAAAAAATGAAGAAATTAGATTAAAATAAGGATTAATATCCACTTATGGTTTTTTTTTCTTTTACTTTATTTGAATAATTTTTAAAATTATCTAAAATTATACTCAAAACTTTAAAAATTATATTTAAAATTATAAAGTATTATGCTACCAACACTCCCAAAACATTTGAAGTTTAGAGTCTCAAAATTATACAATCTATAGAAATTCAGAGTCAATAATGTCCAAGGGAAATCAAAAAAATAAACAACTTCAAAACTTTCTAAAGTCTATGGACTTCATAGTTTGCTTGGGGTTGACTTTGACATTCATACTTAAAGTTTTTTAAGTTTTTCACAGCTATTCTTAGGTCTTGTTGGTTGTTGGAGCTGAGCCTTCTAATTATTGGTATAGTTTGATTCTATTTACACACATTTTGGCCTCACTTTGTGATCCATATATAGTTTCTTGTACTTCTAAAGTCCTCTCTGATTATTACTTCTTTGCTTTAGCATTTTGTTTAACTTAAGAATTCCTATTGTCTATTCCAACATCCTCCATTGCAATTCTAGAATCTTTAAGGGTTATTGCAGCAAAGCTCCAAGCTCAAGTCTTTGCTTTCAAAGATCAACAATAAATTGCACATTGTTTTGTGATGAGCTGCTGCAAAATTTTATTCTTTGTAATTTGCACTTTGTCTCAGACTAATTTACGGAAAATAAAACTTCCTTAAGGTTATCAAAAGCCCATGTCTTGTAAACAACCTCACGCAATCCATCACACAATTTAAAATTTGTGGTCAGATTGAAATAGTTTTGTTTTATTTCTATCAACATCACCATTTGAATCTATAAAATTATTTAATTTAAAATTGAATGAGATGTAATTTTCTACTCTGTGTTAGTGAAGATTTTTTTTTTTTGAAGAGAATAATATTTAATAGGCAATTTACAAGTATTCAGTTGGTTTACATTTTATATTTTTAAAACAAACAAAAAAAATAAAAAAATAAAAACCCTAAACCATATATACACACTTTGTATGAGTAATTTCTTTACATGATTAAAGTGATTGACTAAATGACTGATAAACTTGTAATGACATATTATTCTCCAATAATTTAGAAATGTCAAAATTCAAATCCCAGTAACTTCATACATCTTTGAACTGAATCCACAGTAAGAGATTATATTTTTGTCAATATATTTAAAGAAGTTACTCATCATTTGATTGACATTCAAAGAATTAAATATATTGTTGATTCATGTGCATACCATAAATATTGTAACTTCATATGGTCTTTACATTTATTTATTTTAAATACTGAGTGATAATAATAAATGAAATTATATTACAATTCATTATATAATCTTGGAAAACTTGTATATAAATTATACATAATAACAGAACTAATTTGGTGCTTGTACTTTTTCACTTCTGTAAAATGTAATATGTGTAAAATGCAGTTACAAATTATTACATAAGCATTCCACGGTTCAAAAATACACATTTATTTCCGTAACAGACAAAAACAAAATAAAATTTTAACTTGAATGTATAACATTCAATACTTGTGCTGAAATCACGGTCTTGATTTTAAAATCATGATTGTAAGTTTTGATACATAAAACACAACGTTTTATTAACTGATTTAACTGCTGTATATGTTTTTAAACAAGGTAATCAATGTTTATTGTTTTTGATGTTTGTAACATTGTAAAAATTAGTGCAACAAGAATTCAGCATTCTTGTGATATGTTGAAAGTTTCCATTTTTGGGTATACAGAAACATGATTTTATGTATAGAATATAAGTACTACAAGTACAATTAATAATACAATCAAGAAGACAATCATGAATATCTGTCCATTACTTCCTACTTTTACAATCATTATCTCCATCTTTTTCTGCATGGTTAGATAATTTTCAAAAATCAAAGCATTTATTTTTAAAAATAGTATATAATATGAGTATTACTAAAATTCTAAGTGTCTATCCTTTTTTGTTAGTAATTCTATCAAACAATGTAAAATCAATTTGAGTTTTAAGATAATTTATCTGTTATTTTTGAATCAAAATTAAAAATCACACAAAATTCCTGTACCAAGCCATTTTTTTGGCTTTGAAGGTATTAAGTATTAAATAAAATTATTATTTCAAAGTTGTGTCTTACTTGTACAAAATGAAGGCGAGTAGTGGTTGTATCAATATTATGCTCCACATCACCGATGAGCCTTTCCTGTATTGAACAAACATTTTAGACCGATGTTTTTGTTAGCAAAGGTTCAATAAAACTTATTTAATACTAAGCTGACGAAAAACACAGAAAATAAAAAGAAAAATAAAATATCATATACCATTTGAAAAGTTTTTGAAAATCAATCAGATTATTAGTTTAAATTGCACAATGATTAGGTTTCATGAAATTAATGTATTACTTGGATTGAAATTTCTTCATTTATTGATTTGCCCATATTCCCTAATCGCTCTACACTTTCTCTTAATCCTTCCAAATCTTCATCTTGTTCTCTATTTTATTACAATCATTTCAATACAATACAATATTTAGAACTGAATGTGAATAAAATATTAAAATTGCTAATATATGTAGGTAAGACTTAGACTCACTATACCATAGAAAAAACTAAAATATATGATTGATTTGAAAAGGAACATTGAAAATTTAAACAACTCACTTGAACAGAAGAGCATAGTTTTCAATTTCGAAACCCTGAGAGTTGCTGTGCCCATTGCTAACAGAGTAAGAAGGAGATGAATGAGGTCGTATTGATTTGTCTTCTTGGCATAATTCTTTACCTTTCATTTTTTTATTTTTTTATTTTTTTACGTGCAGAGTCACAAGTCTGCATACTATAATCACAGTGATTTATTCTTAAAATAATTCTATCATATAATCAAAATTAAATTCAACACAAACAAATTAAAGTAACCGATGTAATTTTCATATCAGCCAAATATTGCATAATAGATTTCAAATACGTACAATCCAAAAATAATTGATCACATCATCAAAATATCTTAAAAATTTTAATGTTTTTAAATTATAAACATATTTTTTATAATATTTTTTAGATTATAGTAAAAACGATATGCTAAATTTAATATATATATATGCTATTTATTTTTTTATACATTAGTAAAGAGATGATCACATAAATTTAGTTTAGGAAATAAACTAGTTTTTATAATATTCATACATGTATATGAATAATTCACAATTATTGAAATAATAAAGTTCAAGCAGGGATTTGTTTCTTAACCATATTTTATTGTTGGAATAGGGTTCTTGTTCTTTTGATTGAAACTGTTAGTTTTATTTTTTATTTTATTTATTATTATTTTTTTATAAATCAAAGAAATCGCAAATCTTAATTCAGGGAACTATTTAAGTTGCATACAATAATATGTATTACCTTTGATACATATTTACACAACTCTAAAAAAATCGGAATATATAATCAATGATCATTTCAATAACTTAAAAAAATATTATTATATTATGTGAATTTTTAGATATTACAAAGAAATTATTCAAACATAGGATCATTAACAAAACTCATTGCATTATGCAATTGTGGGCAGTGGAGTATGGACTGGGACAATAAAATATCACCATCAAAAAAATGAATTTAAGGCAAAGTGTCTAGTTTGCAATCTTTCCTGATTGGGTGTTATGTATAAGCAATGTGTAAATTATTTAAAGTGGAACTTAATGGAATGATAGCATGTTGCAAACTTAATTTAGAAGTTGGCAATGTTGTGTTTGCAACTTGGGGTGTATGAGAGGCGGATCCAACATGGATGTACGAACACAAAACATGTCATGGTAAGATTGGTTTGGAGCAATGATTTTAAAAAGAAATTTAGAATGGTAATGAAACATTTCTTAAGCTAAAATTTAATTGATTGATTTGATAGTTTGAATGAAGAAATCTTAATTGATACTTCATTGTTGGCGAACAGCACTTTTGACTCGTCAGAAACAAAATAGAGCCATTTTTTTGTGAAAGTTGAAAAGCTTCTGTAACGCTCAGATTTGTGCTTTAGAGAAGACAACATTTTAGATGTTGATATATTGTTTGCATTTTTTATCAAATCACCAGTTCATAATTCTATAGATTTACATTCTGGGGTTGATACTTTGAATTTCAGTTTAGGTTAAAGAAGGGATTTAAAAAGTGACCTTGTGTATGTTTATAACCGGATTTGATTTTTTTATTACAAGCATGGTGTTCTTTGGTTGTAATTTACTCTTTTCATTTTATTTTATTTTTCCTTCTTTGTGCACATATGTTTTTTTCATTAATACTTAATAGCCGCCGATTTTATTTCGATACTCAGTTGTTGAAAAATTCGTACAACACTTCACTAATAATGAGTTTTTTTTTTGCATAGAATTCAATTCTATTGCTTTTAGTTCAATAGGTCCATACACAAATCTTTCGGCTGCCCAAACTAGAAAATCTGATATTATTTTACACTTTAAATCTATTAATGTAAGATGGAATGTTGTGACAAAAATCCGAAGGATTTTTACTTACTTAATTATTTATTTAATTCCATAGATTGAAAAGACTATTGTAAAGAAGAAACGGAAAAATACATGCAATATCATAAATGCAAGTGTACTGTATTTTGTTTAGAATAATGCTTCATAATCATTTTGATTAACAATGGAATAATACAAATAACAATAAACACCACGATAATGGGAAACTTTATTTACATGATATATATATATATATATATATATATACTAACTATTTCCTATAAAAAAATTATTACACTAACAAGTTAAAAAAATAAATACATAGTAGATAGATAAAATTTAAGTAACTTGTTTAGCTAGTAAATTATCAACATTAGATTTAAAATTTTTTAGTTAATTTATTTTAAAAATAAATTATGATTTTTTTTATGGAATAAATTCTAAATTTTATAAATATTTATATGGATATTGCTAGGTAGGTATCTTCCATTTATTACACGGACATCCTTCTTTTCCTATATAGACACCCTCTTGTGCCATGCACCTTTGCATACACGCAATAAAACTTCTACGTACATTAAAGAGTTTCAAGATTAAGTTTTAGTAAAATATTCCTTAAATAAAGTTAATAATATTTTAAACAGAAATAAAAGAGTTACATAAAATATAACATAAAATTTTATTACTAAATAAATAATAAAAGAAAAAAATGAAAAATGAATTACTAATAAATATGTATACTTTATATATAAATTTTATTTTCAATATAATATTATTTTAGTAGTTTTTATTTATATTAAAAAATCATATTTTTTTATTTTAGAAAATACATGTATAAGAAGTGTTTTTATAAAATTAATAATAAAATAAGTAAATATACTAAATATATTTAGTTATTAATTTTAGAATTTTTATTTTTATTTGATGGTCCTTGATATATATGAAGTAAAAAATTAATATATTTTATTTATAAATTTCAAATTTCGACATGTTTTTGTGAAATATTTCATTGCTTCTATTTTATATCAAATTTCTATTTAAATTTATTATAATGACATACTATATTTTAAAATAATGTTATATCTCTTTTGGTTTAAAAAAAACTTTAGAATTTCCTTGAAAAATCAGACACATTAGACTCAAAACTTGCTAAAATCATATCAAATATGTAAACAAAATCAAAAATCAAAAATCAAAGCTATAGATTTCTAAAAATAAATATGCAATACATTTTTGCTCATAATTAGAGATTTACAAAACACCAGAATTAAGATTTCGGATTTAGGATTACAAAGATATCCTTTACTTTTGGATATCAATATCTTTTGAGCAACAAATAAAAATAAAAAAAAGTAGAGAAATGTCAAAGTAAGTCAACTAATATTTATACAAGAGGGATAATTTTTCTATGATATTTGCAAGAAAGATGATTCAAGTATTTATCCTCTTATCTTTGAATTTCTTCACAATACACATTGGTCTGTTCATAGTAGGTTGGTAAATAGATGTGTAGATAGAATGATGTTGAAGAAGATTAATAGTGGTGCATATTGGAAGAAAGATGGAGTGTATGAAAACCCTAAAATCCTTGAATTTACAGGTGGATTTAAAATGATGTACATATTTTTCAAAGGCGTTTGACTTGATATAATTTTCTATTGATTTTTTTTTGTACTTTATCTTTTCAAAGTTTTGATTTAATCTACTGTCTTATTTGTCATGCTTCTAATTCAAATGGTATATTTAAAAAATTAAAAAATATATATTAGATACATAGAAACTTTTGGATACTATAATAGTATTTAAAATAATTTATGTAGATATATGTCTTATTTTCTATTAAAAAATAATATATTTATACTACTTTTTGAATATATTATACGTATATATGATGTAAAACCATATTATCTATATTCAAAGTCTATATGCAATAGATTGTATATCATTATGCCAATTTGTATCATACTCTTGAATGAAGCAGCTCGTCCAACACAATCTTCATATACATGTCTTTTGCATCTTAGACTTATTTTTATAATATGTTTATAATTATCAAGAGATTAAAGACTATGCTATCTTTATAAATCATATATAATGTTATTATAAAAAATAAGCTATCTTCTTTGAAGAAGTTTGCTTTTATAAGTGAGATCCACAACTAGCCTCAATACTTAGAGTAGGATAGAAAAGAAAGACAATCAAAATTTCATGATCTCATATAAATTATAAAATCTTAAATAATTTATAAAATTTCTGTCAACAAAGATTTTAAATTAAGCATAGTATATTTATATATTTTAAAAATAGAATCTATTAACTCATTCATATCATAAATGTATTTGTATATATATTTTAAATATATAAGAACACAAAAATAAAATATAGATAAAATATGCATTAGAGTCAAGAATCCTTTGTTTGCTTTAGAAATATATGTTAAAAGAAATTATTGATGAAAAGTGATATGCAATATATAATAAAAAATAAAATAAAAATAAAAAAGAAGAAGAAGCTATATATATATATATATATATATATACATATATATTAATGCATTTTTATATATATTACACATAAATTATAAAAATAACATATAAAAAGTATAAATATAATTATATAATTTATAAATAAATAAATAAATCAAACATATTATTATTAACAAAAGATGAAGGGGAATTTAAAATCAATCCATCTTATTTCCAAGGTTTAATGTCAGTGACTACATCTTAGATTTAAAAAAAAAAAAAAAAAAAATGTGAATTCAAAAAATGAATTTGGAAAAGAAGAATAAAGGGAGAGATGTCAAAAGAGTTTGGCTATGATTTTGAATGTTAATTTGACATATATGGGTGCTGTCATGATGAATTAAAGTGTTGCCAATGGAATTGGATGTTGTCTTTGTAAATTAAAGTATTGCCAATGAATTTAGGTATTTTCTTGACGGCTTGTATAAGATATCAGTAGTGCTAGGGTATCAACATTGTCAGATAGCTACAAAGTTAAGATATCAACATCTTCAAAGTATTAACAATGCCACAACATCATCACTGCCAAGATATCAATAGCACTTGAATATCAAGAGTGCCAGGGTATCTATTAGGATATATGTGAGGATGATATTAGCCAAATTAATATAGAAATAGGTTTTAGGGAAATAGTTTTAAGATAGCAGAAAAACAAATAGTATTTATAAAATCTTTTTGTTCCATTGATTATAAAAAAAGGCTCAAGGTCTACGTAAAGCAAATTCTTGCTATGAAATTGTAAACTAACAACTAAGTGGCCCAAATCAAATATCAAATTATTGATTAAAGTTTTAAGTTTTTGGATACAATTTGAATGAATTTTATCATAATTGAATCTAATTTGTAGAAATCTTAAGTTTCTATGCTAAAACCTAAATGAATTTTGTCATACTTACAACTTTCCTAGATGATATTTATGTCGTGATGAGATGGATGCATTGGACATCAAAAATCCTAAACCATTAGTGCTACTACTAATATTTTTACTTTAAAAAGCAAATATTATGAGGTCTAACACTTTCTTATAGTTAAAAAGAGATAAGTCAGCTATTATTCATATTAAATGTAGCTTAGAGCATCTTTATCTATGAAGAAATCCTTTAGATATCACTATGATATCTTTATAATATCATTTTCATAGCTACATCATATCCATGGCATTACATTCAATTGGTGGTAATATATTCCAAAGATAAAAATTAATTTTTAAGCTAATAATTTTGATTAAAATTTTATTTTGTATATATACTTTTCTATAAGCATACTTCAAGTCTTGCTCTTTCTTTGAAAGCATGTACTTTAGAATCCAACACAAATAAAATGTCCAATCATATCTAGCCATAATGATTCTAACTATCATAATATACTTAGCATATGATGATAGAAAAAATAAATAACTCTCTTGATATACTTAACATATGATTACACAGAGAGTGGATATGATTGATGTATATGTGAGATAAGTGGAATATTATTGTCGAGTTTCTAGTGGTGAATTAGCTGGTAGATCCATAATGGCATGAGCTTAGTAGCGGTTCTTATTATTTAGGTGTTGTCCCAAGAGCTAGTGGAATTAAAATAAAATAGAGAAATAAAATAATAATAAAAATGACAATAACAATAAAAATCCGAATCTTATTTTGTCTTATTGCAAGTGAATAAGGTATTTATCTTAACTTGTGGGACTACTAAGTGATGTCAATTAATGAATTCAAATAGGCTAGAAGGTCGTAATGCTATGCCATAATTGCTTCAAGGATAACAAATCTATGTTATTTTTTTCATGCGTGTATTGATTGATAGAATTCATATAATTTAGGGTTAGTTGAATGTACAACTACAACATATTACATGAGGTTGCTACACACTCAAGAGATTGAAAAATATTATTGGTATCAATTCAATTGAAGAAAAAAAAACTAAGTAATAATCAAATAGAAGATGTCTTCAATTTGTGTTTGTAAAATTATTACTTGGACTACCAAGTGCATTAAAGGTAGTAATTTTGCTGACATACAAATAGGTTGAGAAATGTGAATAAGAGCTGATCCACCATGGGATATGTGTTCTTTGTTGGAGTGGGTACAATCTCATGGAATTGTAAAAGGTAACCAACAATTGTCTTGTCTACAATGGTGGTGGAGTACTGTC